GCATTTATTTAAAAGTTTGATCTCCATTAATACTTTAACCTTTTTTTCCAGCGATTAATAAAAACATTCCAATATAAAATACGTCCAGGCTCTGAGGAAGACGAAGTCGCCGAAACGTCAGCCATCGACCAACAACATCAAAAACAACGACAACGACAACGAAGATCTGTACCAACCTCGCGTCAGCTTAAGAAGAACAGTTTACAAGATCATATAAATAAATATATCAACTATTTATGCCGAGGCTTATAGAGAATTGGTCTTTCAAGCTATTTCCCAATGTTACATTAAAATGGAACGTTGTAATACAGTAATGCCTGATAAGCCAGTTGGATGAGGTTAAGCACTGAAAGAACTTTTGATACTTGATCTAATTTGTCTCTTAATTTCTTGGTTCAATAAAATTTTCTTTTCTCGCGGGTCGTAAGATGGCCGTAGAGGTAGCACGTCAGCAATACTTCAACCTAGATTGCGCAGCTAGCAACTTGTAGATGGGAAGGAAATTTACCCCTTTTTACTACTCTGTTGTTAGGTTACTACCAAGATTACGGTGATGCCCAGTATTAGCGTATTTTTAACTGGTCTTTCGAATAAAAACACTGAATTTAATTTAGTAACTTTCTATTTACTTTCTACTCTTTTTTCGTAGCAGGGTATGATGTGAAATATAACCACAATAATGTTTATATATTTGCAAAACTCCGGACCGTAGGTGGCTGAGGATGGCGATTGAACACGGAGAAGGTAATAGTGGGTTTGATTACCACCGCAGACACCTGTTGTCCGAAGTTTTCCATATATCTTAGCATCATGGTGATTACACCGAATTTACTTTTCACTTGTGAGGCCCTTATTTGAAAAGAATTTGTGCCGTGTTTCATTTTGCAGTAAAACAAGTAGGAACGCTTTCCAGTCAAGACGACGAGGTGAGCAATCACTGGGAGAAATAAATACTGTTCCTTTTCATTTAATCCACCACACTAATACCTATGATAAAGCAAGCCTTATTCGGCTAACATTTCGACGTCTTCGTCCTCCTCGGAGCCGGCGACCTCAGTTAATGTCCAGTTCTTCATACTCTCGACGTGGTGTCTTCGTCGTCGTATCGAGTCGGATCTTTCTCAGTGATGCACCGCTCAACTTATTGGGGATGCTTGTGTGAGTGAGTGTTTTTATATATAGAACAGTTGTTGTTGATATGATTGTCCGGTGATAATAACTTACTTTTTTCCGGACGATCCTCCTCCTTTAGCTCCTGTACGAATGATCACTGTAACTAAGAAATGTGGGCAGCGACTCAGATCATCAGCTCTGAGGAAGGAGAAGATGACCAAACATTAGCCTAATAACGTTTATTTCGTCAAGCTCAACTTAGCTCACCAATAAAAGAAGGTACAGTGTCCTTAAATTTTAATACAAATAGAGTACCTCCGAAAGCCTCCTTGCAAAAAGTGCTTCGATAAAATCATTAGAAAGACTAATGTGTGTTAATCAAGAACAGCAGTTCAACACCCTTCATTAAAAAATCACCATCACTGCCTCTTATTTTGCAGAACTACATAACATGACGAGCAACAATATCAACGCTGGAACACTTCAACAGCGTCACTTAAAATCTACATGTTTCAGATAAGACAAAAAATTACTGACAGACGTACTTCTTGCTCTTCTTAGAACGCTTCGCCTCCAACATTTCCAAACCGCAAACATCCCATTCGAGGCCATCATTACACCCTGTTGAAAAAAAAGCAGACATACGGGGTCTTTTGGATTCCAAACAGTCAGATTTTCATCTTGATAGAATATGGAAACTTGTATCTTATTAGGAAAGATCTTTAAACTCCAACTGTTTTGATTTAAACTAGCATGAAGTTCACCAAAGCACGGTGGTTTAAACCTGAAAACTGCTAATTATTCTACACTGTAATAGTGAAAATCAATCGAAAAGCATAGGGATTGGGTGTTAACGGTCATAAAGCGTTTTCGTAGAGGTTTAAACCACATCAAGTTGGCTCACCTCAACTATCCGCATATTAAGAGGTCACAGTATACAATATTTAGGAAGAAAAATGCTCGTATTTGTTATGGTCCCAAATGAGGATTCATTATGTCGTACATGTAAAATGTTGAAAGTTGAAGATAACCGTTAGCAAGAGCAAACCCTACTGCCTTGAAGTTTGTGTTTCCGATATCGAACATACACATTCGAAACTCCCTAAACTAGGACCTCTTGATTTACATTGACTGTCAAAATGTTAGATTAGCCTTGGACGCAAATCCAAATTCTTCTGCATCGCTTAGTGAATTCACACTGGCAAAATCTAAGGCATCAGACCTAGAACTCCACCCACCCATAACTCATGCGTACTCGCTCGGTTAGAACTCCGTGACAAGAAAGGTATCGAAGATGTTTATTACTGCAGAATGTACGTAAAAAGATAAAAGCATGAGGTTCTCGACGTTCAATACCTGAGGGATGCGCGATATATTCGACTTCATCGACTACCATTAGAGGTGATTAGATATATCTGACCGTTGCAATGATTCGAGGTTGCCAACTGATGCATAGAGTCAGATTGCCGTCCTACCAGACAAGTCTGGTTTCAATTCGCAGACCCAGGTGGGATAGAAGACTTGGTGTCTTGGGCGCGGGATCGATCCAATTTGCATTGCAGGGCATCCTCAAAAACTGCGCCAAACGCGCCCTACAGAATGTATGTTAGTACAGAAAGTGCAATAAAACGTACGGTTGGTGTGCTACATATCTTCCAGTCCGAACCGGTATTTTTATGAGCGCTGATTCGAATATCGGTTGATATAGACCGCACTGCAATGGCACGAGGAAAAAAAGAGCTCAGATGTATTTATCAGTAGATGTTTATTTCGAGAACAACGTTCTCATAATAAATAGTATACCTCGTATACATGAAAGGTACGAAAGTAGATGCCTTATCCAAACGATGAAATTATTCAGTCATGAACATGGCAGATCAGCAAACGTGTATAAGGACATAAAAGACAATTTTACCATCAGAATTGTACATAAAATTAACAATCGTGGAGGCACAAGATTACTGAAGCGCTGAGAGTGTAAAAAACAGAGATGTATGCGGTTGTTAGCCGCTGACAACACAGATGTTTGAGACAGCAGGAAAAGGAATGGGAACACAAAGCAATGCCAATCACAATAATTGTAACATACGATATCATAAATTCTTCTCACTCCTAAGAAATTCTTCCTCTTTTTCGTAACAAAAGAAGCAAAAGATTCGTAGACGAAAAAAAAGGCCAGCGTCTATAACAAGTGATAAAAACATGCTAAGGATGAAAAGGAAAAAAAGAAACAAAAAGAATTCTAGTCCGAATAGCTACCAACCAAGTTAGTTGCACAAATAATTGCTGTAGAACGAAGAGATTAAAAGCAGCTCACAATGAATAATAAAGCAAGAAAGCGTCTTCTCCCAAACATAACAAAAAACTGGATGTACGAACATATTTGGCTCACATCTTATTGTCAATACTTAAAAAACAGACCTCGTATGAAATTAATTATGATATAGACATCTAACAAATATTAGGTCCATATCACCAATATAAAGCCATTTTATTTATCAGCAAACTCGATATCACCTGCTAACGACACATCAATCTGAAAAGTCAGCACGATTTCTTCCTCTAACGATGTGGCTACATAATAAATTATTTTTCTCATTTCAGAATTTTTTTCTACCTTCAAAACAGCTTCTGTTTCCGAACGAAGACAACTCAGAGATATGCAAATATTTAGCAATTTTCCACGGATTGTAAAGTATTTCGCTTTGTTTTAGTAAGAAAATGTGTAAAATCGTGCTAAGAGAAACTAATTCATCACGGACAAAACCAGACATTCGATCCAGCAATATCCCATTTCTTGGAAATCCCCGGGTAGTGACTACCGAAAACGAGAAAAAGCCTTTATTACCTGGTTCTATAACGTCATTTTACAAGATTCACATACCATTTGCGAGGAAGATTCTCAAGTGGAATGTAAACGCGGCACGTATCAATTATCTCGGTTATGTTATTGGGAAGTTTATGCATTCCAATCTTCATAGAATTAGCTAGTTGCGCTGTCTCTGTCTCCTCAAAACGTTCTTTCACCATTATTCAAAACTTTACAAGCTCGGAAGTACAACGGCGGCTGCACGCGGCTTGTGGAGCTCCACATTGGCGTATTAATTTCAGAGATAAGCGTCACCTGGTCGCATTCAAAATTTTAATGTCGTCACGAGAATTTTTTCGATAACAGTATCTTGTCCACATACCAAAACGATCAAGTTCTTAAAATCATAAAAGATATTTAATAGACGGTATCTCTCCATCTGTCAGTTCGATAACACTTCAGTCAACCTTTCTAACTCGCATTAGTAGCTTCTCAGTGGTAACGGCCGTAGTCTTTAGAACAGTGTTAGTAATAGTGGTTGTGTAAACAGCAACAATAGCAACAGTAAAGGATAAAGGATAAAGCATAAAGCTCTCGACGTTAATCAATCCCTAAAGGATGCGCCATGCATTCGACTTCAATAAGTTTCGTTGGAGGTGACTGAATGCATATCTGGCCGCGGTGGCCTATCCATGTATCGAGTCAGTGCTGCTATCCTCCCAGTAGTAGCAATTTGTCGACCCCGGAAGGATGGAAGGCTTGGTGGACCATGGGAGTAGGGATCGATTCCACGTGAGGTGTCGCAGTGGCGCCTCCAACCACTGCGCCACACAGCAACAGTAGTAATCACTAATAAAACTTTTGAACGATCTAAATAGGATACTTTATTTCTGCAAAAAAACTGAGTTCAATGAAAGACTTTAACAAAAAGGTAAAGTTTCTTAATATTGCTCCAAAAGAAAAACAATGGAAATTTGAATGAAATATTGAATACTGAACGGAACAACCCAAACAAACCACAGAAGCCAATTCACACCAAGTTTCAGCTTTAAAATAAATCTTTAAGTTCATAAAAGCATCACAAACTCGCCTCTTTTTTTGTTACACTTTTCTCAACCACAATCACTTTGCGTTCACCAGTCACTGCATCCACTACCGTACTTCTCTCGATAGAGATATCGTTGCTTAGTATCCTCTCCGAAGGAGGAACAGATCCATCTTCGCCAATAGCAGGCAACTAAACAAAATAAAAAACCAGCTCACTATGCACATCGTTAGCCATCACGGTTATACGTCCTAGTTTCCACCTTAACGGTTTTGCTTCTAAAATTATTACTGTGAAGTTCTCTAAGCATAAAATCCTCCAGGAAATACTTGAAGCAATGCTTCCTCCGCTTTCTACTTCACCGCAGCAATTTGTGCTGGTTGATTCTCCTGTCCCATTTATACGACCAAAAAATTCCAAAACATAAATATGTACGTGTGGCGAAAAGTCTATCACATCCACTACCTGTTCATAGCATGAGGTTATAGAAGAATCGCTTAGAGACAACAGACGTTTTAGCGAATCTAAAAATTTACTAGCCTCTATATGAAACGGATAACGGAGACAGCGTTCTGCGATGAACAATTCCTTAGGAATTCGACATGCATTTAATTCCACAGAGTATCGATTAAATGAGTAATCTGGTCTACATAATAACTTGTGCGCCCTGTCAAGTAAATACTGCTGTTATTCTCAGGCTAGCCTGCTTGCAATTTACCAATCTAGGAAGGATAAACGGTCTGATTTGCACTAGGAACTGGATCGAAAAAACAGCCTTGGGTGCTGCACAGCAACTTTAACCACCACACTACATGCGTCCACATAAGATGATGTTAAAATGAGTGAAAAACATACCGAAATTAGCTGCAAGCGGTCCATGATAGCATCAGCTTCGGCTCTCTCTTGGTCAAGACTCTTCAAGCGAGCAGCTCGCCATTCACTACGTCTCTGTTGTTCCATGGCGCTGAGGGCAAAATATAAGACAATTTCAAAGAAGAAGGTAATCCAGGTCCGTTGAACCTATGATTGTTGTCGACTACAGTAATGAAAACAGCAATGTTTTTTTGTAATGAGGCAAAGATTACCGCTTTTCAACATCGTTTAAAGGTGTTTCGCACGACGACATCAAGTTAGAAGAAAGGGTAATGTCTGGTTTCTTCGGATTACTGATTTTTCTCGACTTCGCACTATAATAAAATAATGCGTAGAATACGTGGAAGACAAACAATGTTGTAAACAGGAGAAAGAGAGGCATAGCACTCTGTCAAAGCGATAATAAAAAGATGTAACTTTATTACCTATCCTCTACCATTCCTTCGAACCCGTCGCACACTTTCTCGGAACTGATAGCTTCAGAAAGAAAAGCCTTTTTTCGACCATCCTCATCTTTCCCTTTGTTGATGTCGTTTTCTGTGACCAGTGGTTTCATGGCTAAAGAGAAGACATGTGTACCCAAAGGCAGTGAATTTAAGACGGAATAAAAGCATGACATATGCGACGGAAACAAACTTGGAAATGAAAAAAAAAGAAAAGATGTATGTAAATGCAAGCTTAATTCATGCTATATGCTCCTATCAAAACAAAGATAAAGAAATAAAGAGAAATACCAGAAGGCAAACTGCCTGCGGGTCCTTGCTTTGTTCCCAACCTTTGTACTTCGATTTCTCTTTCAAAGTTCCTCACCTTCGACGCAAAAGTCAGTTTCTCTGGTTGCATTATTTCAGGAATGAAAGGCACGTTCTGTAGCTGAAAAAGTGAAAAAAAACTAAGCGTTTCGTAGTTAATTCCTCAACGACTCGATTAAACTATTGAGAACTGGATACTGCTATGAAAATGCATCACCTGTGAATTCCTCAACGTCGGTTTTGGGGCAACTGCTGGTGGTATTCGAACGGATTTCTTAACAATAATTATATTCGTATCACTAGATGCAGAATGCAGAAATTTGGACCAACACGTTGACATGACTCAAATCTGTTGCAGAAAAGAATTGCTGTACAATGAACAACATTTTTAGAGATTTTATGGCGTAATCGAAACAACAGTTTGCCTAAATAAGAAAATGTTGTTCATAATCTGTACAAACTAAAGCTCCCAAACCGCTCTAAAACGACAGTAACATCAGCACTCGATGTGGTCCTAGATGTTCAAAACATGTATCTTCCAGAAAAGAACAGCATGCAAATAGCGCCGAAAACGAGATAACGATTTCAAAAACATGGAATTCAAACTGGACGAAAATCAAAATACCGGAGCCGAAGTAGGAAGCAGCAATGGATTTGCAGGTAAAGGACTGGACGATGCTAGAGGAGGTTCATCGCATCGAGGCAATTCTAGACAATGTTCACCATTTCGAACGGGGTTGTTAATGACGGCCGACGCTACTGATGTTGTCGAAGTAAGCTTGTTCTCGTCAGCTAGCATCATGTTCGATGAGGATCGCTTAAATGAAAAAAACTATTCCATGTGTTGAGCAACTTCACGCGGTCCTCACACTCAGCCTACACTTCTTGCCGTCCATCACGCCACATGTTAAAGAACCTACACAGAGACCAAGATGACAATAAGTAAGATATATTCTTTAGTAATTTTTCTCTGTGAAAACATGCCTATGCAGTGGGCAAAAGCAGTTTCTTTGAACGGTAACTACACTATTCTCCCATTCATAATAAAGGAATTAATGATCATTTAAAATCAAGGCAGAACTATTCAGAAGCAACGGAAGTTTTCGAGAATGGAAATTTAAAAGAATGAATACACAAACACATGAATTTGGATTTTCATTTGACAAATACATCTGAACTATGATATGATGAATTATGAGAGTTACTTCTGAAAAAATAAACAAGCTGAATCTGCCACTACTACACGTGACTAAAACTACTGAGAATGTACTGCGCATTTAGTGTAAATATAGGGCAAACTTAGAGGATTTGAGGGAGGTGGCGAGTTTTACGGCCTTTGAATAATTGACGCATCTTTTCAACAGCAGTTACACACACATAGAGCAAATATCACATAGAACAAATGACTAGTGTGCAACGGGGTGAGCTCGGAATACAAAGAATGTGATGTGGAGGCACATCTGAACAACATGCAACGAAGAAATAACGACGGTTGTTATACAAATAGTGATCAAACATTTCCAGGACATGGCAACAAATTTTCACATCTTAAAGGAGACGAAACTGACACAAAATGGGTCAGCATAAAGCAAAGCTCACGGCGAGATACCGCTATTCCTACTTTAAATAGGTAAGACAAAAATAAATAAACCTAAGAAATGCGTCGAAAAAGTGAAAACAAAGAGAAAACCGGGTGAGGGCTCAGAAAAATGAGGTTGCGCTGTAGTAACTACTGTATATACATGGGTGCACTATCCAATGTAGCGTCACGTCAACATTGGAATCATGCGAAACACTATAGACACGATCAGAATATAAATGAAGCATGAACACCTCTCCTAAAAGAACTTACCGATGACGTTGTGTCTTTATCATCAGTTCGAGGAACGTTTGCCACATTATAACCATCGCATACAAGAATCCGCAGCTCATTTGAAGATCGAAGTATCGCTGCAGCTTCAGACTGATCACAGCCCAATAAAGAATCTCCATTTACCTCAATCAGCCGATGCCCAACTTGCAAACCAGCTTGATGGCACACACTTGACGGTTCAATCTAAAGTGGACCGATTAATGAAGCCGTTTGTTAAAAATAAAACAATAGATCGTTGGGTAATAAAAATACTCAATACTAGATTGGTCGCCTTTCCTTGATCTCAGAATTCTCCTTCACGTTATTAGCAAAACAATATTTTATGTGACTGCCCGTAGAAAATCAGGACGTCAATTTATAGAAGATATTTCGATAAAAAATCACTTCGCAAGTGATAATGTTGTGCAGCTACGGTAGCGACGGATATGAGATTCGGTCGTCTCTTCCGTTTATTATTGTTCAAAACTATAATGAAATTATGAAGCGTTGCTCAGAATGCATTTGACTAAGCCGAGTAAGACACGTTCTGGTGAACGGAGTAGGTGTCAGTAAACAGCCTCTCCTCAAATATATTGTGGAAACTTTAACTCAAGGGTACGAATGGTCAATGAAGGGTAACAACGAATTTCGAAGTCTGGCATAAGAGTTCAAAATTGCAGCGGAAGCAGTTTCCTTGGGTTCTGTCTACAGCTGGACGAAAAATCTTTTTTTTTAACAAGACAAAAGTTGAACCATAATTTTCGGCAATGAAGTCCCCTAACTGTCACGAATCCAACAGAGACTGACTACGCACTAACAAGCAAATGATGATGAATATTTGACAACTGTTTTTTCCCGCAGTTGGTTCACCAATACTGAGTGCCGTAGATGCGCCGCCGTCAAAAAAGCAGATCATATCAAATGGCGTCAATAGACCAATATACAACCCGTATAAGAAAGCACCGACGAGTGAGACCCTTCATTCGATCGGAGCTCCATTTAACTGGATTCGACTCGATGGGGCAGAGAACAACCACACCGCGAGGAGGACTATCTATGGAACATTGATTCAGATGAACCCAGCTCTGAAAAAGACGAAGATGTCGAGACGTTAGCCAAATAAACTTTTTTAAAACCAATCTTGTGCTAGCTTAACAATCCAAAAAGCCTACTATTATTTTCCTGCAGCTGCTCCGATCACAGCTGTCTCCGTGAAGTTTACATGTTTCCACAACGTGGGAAGGAACTCTATGTATTGCACAATGGGAAAGAAAAGGTGAGTCGTCGAGGATGACAGCACTTTATACAAAATCCTTTTCTGATATTAATAACGCGTCGAATAAGACAACACAGAGATTACTTGCTTGTCAAAAGACTCCAAAACAACGAAATGTAACTCGTTTTTTCCAGAATTTGGATTGCGCTTTCAACACTATCAAGCTCTTACTAAAGAGAAAAAAGCTGAAATTTTATCCGACTGCAACATACATTAACAATATCTAACGGCCAGTGCCAGTTGTAAACGATGATTTCAATAAGGGAATAAAGCTATAGGAATAGAAAAACCCTAGGTGTACCCTGGAGACAACAAAACTAAGGACCTGTGTTAAAGATCCTCATGAACACAGCACTCGATTATTAGGCTTGCCAAAAGAAATTCGGCGGCCCATCCAGATGCGAAACGGATTTGATAATGGGATTCAAATTTTTGCGTTTACAATCAAGGTGGTCACCAACATCCTCCGTAAAAACTAATCGATATTTCTGCCCTAAAGTTTTAGCGGCGGCAAAGAAGCCAAAAATGGGCCCCGTTCCAGAGCCGTAACCCAGTGATACCAAGTTTCTGGGTCAAAAAATCTAATCCCTTTTATTGACTCCCAGCTGAAAGCCATGAATTACATGCGTTCTTGGCAAACCCGTTAAAGAAAAAATACCTCAAAAACAGAAAGCCCAAGGAAGCATTCCGCAGATGGTCGCATAGATAACAAGTACGAGCAATAGAATTTCCAAGAATGCAGCATTTTTTTAAGCAGAGTAAATACGATAAGGATCGGATGGAAAATATTCCTAACGTGTACATCAAAAACTGCCGATGAAACGCAACCAAGTCACGCAAATTCAGTTGCTTATGCCATGTTTAAATCGTTGCATTTACCTCCTACTGAAGCTATGCTGCGGTAATGTAGCTCTTCCAGTACCTGTTACCGTTCGTAACGAAAAAAATACCGTTCCACGATTTCCACAATTTTCTAAGGCTGCTCTGCGTCGCCCATATTTTATATTATGAATCGACATTAAAGGTAAACTCACTGACGAGGGATCCCTACCAAAATTTTGCTTTACAGAAGGAATCAATCCTTTTAGAGAACTGCCACTGATACCACAGCCGCAATGATCAAGGATCTCAACGAAACTACTGATTATATATTTACGTCAAAGCATCATTGAATCTAGAATATAATGAGAGAAATGAAGGGAGTTATATTTGTTGTTTGCGTCAAGAAGCTGTACAAGCGATCGAATGTAGACTTGCTGTCAGAAATGGAAGCCCGAAAATAACACTACTTTTGTAAAAAGACTTCTTCTAATAATGATGGCAGATAATGAGCGAAATGAGTGGAAGTCTTGCTGCGGTAAAGACGCTTCGTAAATACCTGCTACCGAACTATGGGAATCAAAGTTTAAAGTTCATAAAACCTCAGAAAACACTATTCGGTACCTTTTCCACGAATATACCCTCGTCTCTCTCGTCAGCAGGATTCGCCGCTGGCTTTCCTACACCGCCATGAATTAATATACCTAATGATTGACCATCTTTGCGAGTCACCGTGATAATACGCATTCCAGGAGGTTGTGGCTCATGAGTGACTAGTAAAACTACACGGGGACCACTTTGCTTCAAGGCCTGTAAACAGTATAACGTATCAAAACGCAAAACAAATAAAGGTAAGTTCTAACGTTAGTCACTACCTCAACTGCCTCAATGTGCTGGGCTTTTCGGATATCTCGATCATTAACTTCTAGAATTCTATCACCAATACGAAGACGTTGACATCTGAACGATATAATGAACAGCAGAAAAAAAGGAAAATAACTAAGTCATACCGATCAGCAGGTGAGTTCGTTGCTATTTTACTGATAAATACACCAGGTCGATCAATACCAAACGGATGGCTTGAATGATCGCATCCACCGACAATAGATAAACCAAGAGATTTACCATCTTTCATCAAAACAACCTAAACGGGAATTTGTGAAACGAGTAATACAACAATGAAAACCAATTCAGAACAATCACTACGCCTTTGAAAAGATATAAGCACGCCTATAAAGTTAAAACGAATGGCCAAACTCTTTCATCACAAAGCCATTTCATCATGCTGTAGACAAAATCGGTATAACATGCTATACCTCCTCTGTAGTTCCATCCCATGACGAAGTGTCAGCAATGGGGTTATAACATGTCGCACTTGTGGTTGTCATTTTGCATGTATTATGCATTGTAGGTGGCTAGAACGAATGAGATCACGATCCTATGTAAAAAGGATTAGTGGAGAGAATGATTTTGAGAGAAGGAAATAATACAGTAACAAACTGTATATATTCCAAAAAAGGTACCCACATTTTGTGGGACCGGCTGCGAGTGAGGCGTCAAAGTGGTAGGTGAAGAAGTGATGAGGGGAGTTGAAGGTAGAGGAAGCGGAGAAATTCGCGAAACAAGATCACGCTGGTAGATTTTATTAAGTCTACAAGCTCATAAATAGTAGTAGATAAGTGTGTGTGGCTTACCATGACAGTAATGTAAACATCCTCGTATGGATTACCGGTGAGTAACGCAACCGCTTGGTCATGACGCACACCTTGGAGTCGTGTTCCATTTATAGACACAATTCGATCTCCAACCTTTAACTGATAAGCATTAAGCAAAACTATGATTACAGCGAAGAACAAGCCATGATCGTTTGACCCGAAGAAAAATTAGAGCGATTGAATAAAGACTCGTTTCAGAAATTATCAGAACACAAATCAAAGAGAATACACAGGACTAACACTTAGTGCTCCTTATCTTTCCTAAAACTATTTAAGTGAACATACCAATTAACATAAAACACAAGATATCAGTTGAAATGTTGTGAAATCCAATAAAAACTATGTAAGTTTTTTTAGAACTTCGAAAAACGATGCACTGATTTTCGCAAAAACTCTAGTGTTCTTAAGCTCAGATATAAATCAATCACAACTATTCCTTTCTAACAACATAAAACTCGTCACGATTTATACATCTTTAGTGACGATATATATGGTAATTGACTCCATCTACAGCAAATTCTACGCTTCCAAACACGTATGAATTTATTTACTTCTTAACAACAAAATTTCACGTCTCTAGAGCTCACGAACTCGACGAGAACAATTTCAGCTGCGATTTAGCTGCTGAAAATTTTCTCAACATGTAAGCATTAGTCAGCCGAGAAACTGGCACCCGCTGACGAGTGCAATTTATAACACAAGAAAGGGGCGCGTGTGGGGCAGTGGTCGGAGGCGTCCTGCGATACACACGTGGGGTTGACCCCCGTGCCTGTGGTTCACCAAGCCTTCCATCCCTCTGGGGTAGGCAAATTGCTACCAGACTTGTCTCGAAATATAGCAGCACTGGTTCGACACATCGGTAGGCCACCGTGAATCATTGTAAAGGCCAGATAAGCATTCAATCACCTCCAACGATGCTTAATGAAGTCGAATGCTTGGCGCATCCCTCAGAGATTGATCAACGCCGACAGCTTTATCTTTTCACTCCTTTTATGACACAAAGTTTCGTGTTTCAATATGTTCAACTTCCAAAATGTTGGATGTGCACGTAATCGGGCGTTGTCATGCAACAAAACTTCTCCCTTTCAAATGATCAGTGCGAGATGTAAATGTTACAACATCTGATGTATTCTGCGGACTTTCCAACAACAGAACATCGTTGTAACCACCTCATCAGGATTCAAAGAATCGTCGAATTTAACAACTCTTTCAACATGGAGACAGTCATCATACCTCGCTTTTACTGTAGACTTGGCCTCGACAAGTGTTCGCCTTCTTCTTCAATTTTATCCAACCCATAATAAAAAGTCGGTTTCATACAAATCCACTTTTGGTGGCATATGACAACAAAATTACAACAGGTTGTTCTGACGTGAAAAAGTAACGCAGAATAAGCTTCACAACGATGATCTATTTACCACTCTTTCTATTAATTCTGGACGCATACGGTAACGTTTTCATTAGGTTCTCATTCCGGTGAGGTTTGACAAAATTGCTCATATACTTATCCCTAGTTCTCCTCCAAGCTCCCCAACCAACACGTATCGAGCTGCTTCGATAGTCACTCCCCATGACTCTAGTATCTTCAACATTTTCATCTCCATAGCAATTTTCATATTCCAGCCGGTTTTTGCACGTTTGCGTCTGGCTTTTAATTTGTGCATCGTACAAAGAATTCTAGAAATCTGCTTCTTTCGGTAAAAAAAAACTAACCACTGCCAAAAAACATTCTATTTGAATAAAACACTAGCAAGTATTAAAAATATAAGAGAATCAAACTGCACCTTACCAAAAGTTTTCCTTGGCAACCTGCTGGCCCATTCGGTGTAATATAACTAATGAATAGGCCGTCAGAGGCTCCACAATGTGATGAAGCAACAGCGAAACCGGGAGAACCAGAAGCATCACTCAAAGGTAAACATAACCTGGTATAAAGAGTATAAATGTATGACGAAAAGAAAAATACCGTTTCAATGTCACGCTAAGGGTTTCGCGACTGTTAATTGGTACATCGCTCGAATCTGACATGTGAGATACATCAGTGAATTGTTCCGGAAACTTCTATAATAAGGTTGATTAGAAAAAGTATCCTTGAATAAAGTTTGCTACTAGGAGCTGTAAAAATATTTACTATAAAATTTGCACTAACGTCTTCCTTTCTCAAAATCAACAATTCCACAACATCGCCTGGTTCATTCATCGCACGGACTGCTTCATCATGTGATGCACAAGACACATCGACGCTGTTCACCCTGAAGAAGAGGAAATAATCGTTGACATAAAAATTTTTACATGTTTTTCGCACACTCAAATATACAATGACCTGCCTTAGGAGTTTATCATTAACTCGAAGACCTGCGAGACTGGCAGGTCCGTCAGGCGTAACACGCGATATAAAAAGCGAGCAATCTCCTTCAACAAACGGAGTACTGCCTAAACCGCCAGCAATTGAGAGGCCCAGATGACCGTTTGCATCGCGAACAATACAGATTTTGCGTGACACTCCATCGCGATTAACAGGTGATACCACCGTCGATCGGTCCTAAAATTAACGTTATATGGGGTGAACTATGAATAGGGATGGCTTGAGAACGAAAAACTTATTGCCAAATACTAAGAGAAAACATCTCATCGGGTAAATGGCGGTTAACACTTGGAATCCAAAGTGAGCCCGTTTTCTTTAAGGATATTTATTTAGGATCAAATAGGTCCACCGGCGTATAATCTGTAGTCGATCGGTAGCTTAGCCAACATGGACCCATGCACTATGCATCAGAAAAGAATAGTTATTCCTCACACTCAATGTTATTTAAAAGACGGCTTTTCGGACGAGTTTACTCCCTATGGAACTCGTTGCTGATGAGGAAGGTGTAAAGATATCAGGAGTATGGAAAACTGGAAAGATACTGTTTCTGCATCTCATAGGGATTAAAACCCTTTTGTACTCATACAGTAACACAAAGAATGATGTTTAATGGGGAGGCTATATATGACTAATATGTGGGGAAGGGGGAAGAGATGGACCTTCATGAGTTTATATAAATTCGCAGCCCTAACAGACACTGCGTTCATATAAAGCTAGACGTTTAGATGCTAAAAATTAATTTCAACACTTTCCATGCGATTAAGACGTATAACCAGTTGAAAACAGTATTCAATGAGGAAACTTTAAAACGCATGCTTCTTTGACAAACTACGTTCGAGATGTCGTATAATCAATGACACTAAAAATAGAGTAACCAAACTATCATATTCATCCAACAACACCTAAATAAAAATTAATACGAACGAAAGATTGTTACTGTGCATTCGCACACCAAACCAACTTAACACTATAGAGAAAGAAAAGAAATGTTGACAAGGAAATGAGTAAAGCACGATAAACGAAAATAGCTATCAAACTGAGTTGGAACACATAGGAGCTATGCTAACGCATTGGGTAATTATAAAAGAAACGGTAAGCGAGGTGACCACTATCAGAAAAATAGTTTTTTTGAGAACACATCATGCCATCAGCATGCCAGCAAAACAAGGTTATTCAGGCGATTTTTGCTCTATGAAACCTACTCGTTCTGGAGAGGTTAGCAGAGCACCACGTACTCCTTTGAAATGTGGGGTGTTGATTCGCTTAAGTCGGCACAGTGACGGTGCCTCAGGAACATCACTTGCGAAAGCAACGTTCTTCGTCTAAACTCCCCAATATAAGCTATAAAAACAGTAAAATTCGTCGACGGCGCTAAACTATCAAGAATCAGGTAAATTGATATAGACAGAGTTTGAGTTCAAGAACATGCCTCACTGGGCTAGTATTACTACAGTGCACAACTTGTGCAAAAAAATTGCGAAAATTTGGGAGGTGATAAAAGTACGGATGAACTTTAATTTCTACATATATGGCTCAGGCATAATCGTCACATCAGCAAAATCTTCCTACGAGTGGGAAGGTTAAATTTTGCCCGAAATCGATTGTGTACATCCTGAGATACAGCCTGATTCAGGCAGGGAATAGGTTGGCTATGCTCTGATCTAGATTAGTTTAAATAATGTATTTTATACGTTTACTTGAGCAAAAGCTTGTAACCAAGTTACCTGGTAGTGCAGCAGATCATTTCCAACGAGTACACCTAACGTCTACTGAAGGAAAGCTTGATAAGTTTCTGGCGAGTATACCTACTACTCAAACAGTTACCTATGGCTTGGAACAAATCCGAATGTAAACTTGCTGGTACCTTTTCGAGTCAATGGGATTATGGACCATACGAGTGAATAATCACAATCACAGGGAAGACAACGATACTGTTATGGGGCATTGTACTGAAGAAACAATAATGTACAGAATCGTAAACTCACACTTATTTGTTCTGATGGTATTCATCCGATTAGTCGAACTGTTAAGAGTGGAAAATTGGTAACATATATTCGTCATACAGAGAGATAGGATTATTAATGAAATAAAATGACTACGTAAATACAACTTCCCAAAAGAAAACTTTTAGAAATAATTTACTCACAGAGGAAACATCAGAAAATCGGAAGCGATTTTAAAAAGAATGCAAACCTGTCCTGTTTCCGGTAACTGCAGCTCTTGAGAAGGCATGCTGCTGTGCTCCGGTTCGTATCTAAAGAAGGAAAACTTCGTCCTTGGTGACTTCACAACTCGGCTACATATTTACTACGTGGTATGCATGAACTTTTAAAACGAGAACACCTCCAATGTTATAACATACATTGTCTAATTCCATTTTGTTTCACGATGCAGTAATTCACTAAAAATCTGGATATAAGCTTACACCTTGCAAGGTAGAGTCATTTATAAAGAATTCATTCTAAGGAATTGTAAAAATTTAACTCTTATCTGAACTTTACAAACCAATAGCGGACTCAACTCAATGGTAGAAATGCAGACATAAAAAATGCTAAACCAATGTAAATATCGGGACTCCCTTCAAATTCCTGAGCAGTTAGTAATTTGGCACGCCATAGTTATTCTCCCTCCCAGATTACCGCCCTACCGCGAGTGGGAGGTGTTGCCAGGTATCGGATTATTATGTACAACTCGAAGTTTACACCCCACCAGTGTCTCCCAAAAGGAGTCTGATGTTTCCACTCAGAAACTCCAGCTAAGGGTAAACCAACACCACAAATCAACGCCGTCCTTGTACCAACTAGTCGCAAAATGGCAGATTTCATGTAATGATTCGTAAAAAGCGGTGACTGTTTGTAATGACTACTAGACGAGAGCTACATCCAAGATAGTCATTGCGCTCCAGGAAATCATAATGGCTCAACCAGCAAGATTCCAGTCTCAGCATCAACAATCGGTAAGAGGCGATCAAATCTTTGGTTGCACACGACATCATTGGATACGGACAAACCAGCACGCCCACGACATGCCATGGAGACTTCTTCTTGTGCTGCACAGGTAACAACTGAACAATCTCTTCAGACTCTGATCTTTACACTCTTCTTGAGGCTGCTGAGCTCAACGAATTCCATAAGTTCTTGCTAAAAGTGATGCAAAGCGGGAAGACCGATACATACCATTTAGATGAAGGCACACTTGTCACCATTGGAAGGCAATCTCTATTAAGAAATATCGGAGGTGCTGGTTTTGTCGTAGACCCATCTATTTCTCATCTAATCACCTTATACGAAATCGGATCACCTTTGTTCTTCATTCTTCTTCAAGTGCTTCGGCATCCTTCACCTCTGACATCTGCGCCAAAAGAAAGTCAATATTATCAGCAGCTACTCAATAACTTGTGTCTGCTGATGAGAGCGAACTGGAGGCGTTCTACAACCAGCTAGAGAAAGTACCCCGCAAAAAACCCTCCTATAAATTCGCTGTCAGAGACTTCAATTCCAAGCTAGGAAAAGCCAACGAAGATGAACACAGGATGAGCAAATTCGGAATAAGAGAACGAAACAGGAATGAGAACCTTCTTGTAAAACTCCTCTCCACAGCAAGTCTTTGCCATCGGGATTCGTTTTCCAAAAAGATAGAAAATCCCGGATGAAAATCAGAGTTTCCCAACGACATGACTCACCTAGAGCTCGACCATTTACAAAAAGATGGTGTCGTTTTGACACTTCTATGGCACTTGGATTCTTTAATGGCACTGATTAACATCTTCTTCGTGAGGAGATTCGAATCAGCCATAAGTTGGCGAAGTACTCTTTATCATTATACAAGAAAAACAAAAAAAGTAGTTCACCACGGGGCATTCTCAATGAAATCCTCTCTTAAAAAAGGAACAAATAAGAGAAGACCCGACCGAAGACTACAAGCTGCTTGTCAAGAGACTTTAAAAGTGTGTCGAAGCAACACCATTTCCCTAAACAAGAAATTCCGACAGCACCTCCCTTACTAGTAAGAAGTGGCCCGAGAATGAAAAAAAGCAGAAGCTTAGTCATTCTGCAACACATCTAACAAGGCTTATAATAAATCCCAACTGTAGGAGACCTCTGAAATAAGATTTACTTCGAAATACGCAAAAGAGTTACTGCGGGTAGCTCAAAAACAATCTATTCTGAAAAAGTACCGTAAGGATTTGTGCAACTATAATGTTATGCTATCCGCTCCGATGAACGAAGATTGGACTACCACCATTTCTCGCTAATGATATGGAATTGAAATGGAAAGTTTTGCACCAATCTTTTCCGTCTCACAAACTACGCCTCGGACTCCGAGGTCCTCGCTGGAGAAGAACCGCCCGGAGTTCCATCCTCAGAAGTTGGAATTGTAGTAGAAAGGATGAAAATAGTCGCAGCTCCAGGATCCGACAATATCACTGCCGACTTCATTCAAGCTGGATGCAACAAATTACATCCACATCTTGCAACCCATGTGACACCTTACCATCAGAAGAAAAAGTACGAGACCAATAGATGGCATCATCCACGATTACTCTGGCCAAAGATGGTGACCGAGGAGATCTTTGTAACTACGGTCTGATACACTTGTTGAGTGTATTCTACCAGTTGATTACAAAGATGATCCTTTTGTGAATATCAAAAACCTTGCATAAAGGACAAGTAAATGAGGAAGCAGCATTACAAAATGGAATCTGCTTCATAGACCACAAGTAAACCGTGTCACGGGTGATAGATTTCTACAGGAAATAGCACCTTCCTCTTGTCCTAACCTTTATTGGCTACAAAGTAGCGTCAGACAACGTCGAAACAAGTGCAATCCTTTCAGTGTTCGTCGTCCACGGAGTGGAACCGTCCTATATATGAACATTAGCAGACTGTTATCAAAACTGTTGCACAAAAATACAGCTTTTCCATCCAATCTTACCACAGCCATAGAAAAAGGAGTTCAACAAGACGACGCGATTACGCCAAAGATGTTTTCTGCTGCCTTGCATTGGATAATGGGGTTACTCTACTGGGAAAAGAAAGGCATGTACAGAGGTAAAATTGGCATAGGTTTCGCAGACGTCGCCATGTTCGAAGTAGACCGCCACCGTGGACGAAAGCGCAAGAGAGAGAAAAGAAATGAAATCGTGCTGGACACACATTACCAATGAAGAAGAGCCATCTAAGAACGCAAGTAAGCACACTTATTTTCAATAATTCTAACGAAAATGTTCTTTCTTTAGAGAGATTCTGTAGAAATAAAAGTGTACTAACTGAGAGTTAGTACACAAGGTGGTTAGACTTCTTTGACAGCTTCTCAATTCCTTCAAAATGGCACAGATCGGCGGCGAAAAAGCTTTTTCCAATAGTTTGAAAGTTACTTTTTCTCATTACATGATCCATCATCACATTTACTGTGCAGATTTCAGCACTTCTTGCATTCGATTAGGCTTCCTCGGATTCATCCTCTACAAAGGAGTTCAAAATTTTTCATGTTATTTTGGATGCAGCTTGAAGATTTCGTCTCCTTTATGAATGTTGTAGAATGCTGGTCGATCCCATTCACCTTCTCATGGCTAGCCGAGCTAAGGCGTTCCCACGAATGTTCTATTTCCTTTTCCTTTCTTCTTATTCCAATTCTACAGCTTTCTTTACATGAAAATCTTTACCTAACAATTTCCCCAGTAATTTCACTACGACTGCGGTCCAACAAATCAGAAAGGTGTATCAGAATGGAACTCCTTGTGGTTGAAAATCAATTATCGATGTTCGCTCAATTTTACAAACTTGTACACTTGTTCCTCTACAAAAAAAATCACAAGTAATATCCATAGCAAGGACTAGAAGGAAATGATGGGAAATTCTTAGTGTGCCACGAAATAAAGTAGTTATTTGAAAACGAACGCGAAAAATTACTATTCAATTGGTTAATTATATCCATGGATTCTGCAGAATATACAGATTGAGAGTTCAATACTGAAACATTTTTGAAAAATGTTTTGATAGCTCGCACAACAATTCTGATTCTTCCATGTAGCCGGGCTGCTCAGAAATTAATTCCCGATGTGTACTTCCATTCTTCTCGCAAATATTTTAGCAAAAGTGTTTTCATTCGAGCACCGTACTATTACGTATTATTGCAAAGCTCATTTCATGCGATTTCATAGAACATAGCTGAGACATAATATAAATTATGTTTATGAGAAATTTCAAAGTAGAAGTTTAGATGATAAAACAGCAATTTCGAAAAATTTACTTGTATCAATTCCAACTACGAAGTTCGCAGCATGAACTGTTCGAAATGTTTAGAGGTATAACGGGCAAGGACCTGTTAAAAAACGCTGTTTTGTGCAATGTTGGTTTGGAAAATTTAGTCATGACGAATTCGACCTTGAATTTGAAGAACGGTATGAATATCTCTCTACAACTGACGACAATAAATTGAAGAATTTGGTGAAAGAAAATACTGCGTGTCTCTTTAAAAGCTTGCAACATAATCCAGTGTAAGTATTTCAACTGTTTCGAAGCATCTAAAGAAAAGTGGAAACTCAAGGAGGCTCAGGAAACGAATGCCACTCGAATTGAACGAGAAACGAGGAAATCGTCGTTTTAAGGCCACGTCGCCATTTCTTCTGTGCAACCAGAACGACCCGTTTCCCGACCTTATCGTGACGTGCTACAAAAATTGAATTCTATACAACCAGCGACGAACTGCTTAACAAGTCGAACGCGATAAAGCTTTGTACCCTTCCATAACGCCTAAATTGCACCAAAAGAAGGTTCTGTTCATTAACTGCTTGCTGATTTTCCGCTGGATTAATCCTTCACATTTTCTTAAATGCGGACGACGCGATTAATACGAAGAAGTACCTCCAAAAAATCGACGAAATTAACGAGATTAATTAACTGCTGTGCCTCGAAATTACCACTTCCTTAAACAACTCGATAACTTCCTGTGCCATAGATGCATCCGAACAAAAGAGGACGGCAAAATTGCTTTCAACGATTTCATCGCCTCCAGATTTCTATGTAACTGGTGTACATAAATTTTTTTTTGGTTGACAAAAATGAACAGGTTCTAATGGCTTCTACTTAGATTAATAGTCTGTTCTGAAAAATGATATGCCACTTTGGAAACAGTGGTTGAATTCGGACATTCATTTCAGAAGAACTTAATTCACTATGGGACGAAATTTAGCAATGCAAAATTTGAGACAGACAGAATTTGGTCACGGTGGTTCCTTTAATCAATAAGAAAACGGACACACCTTGCATCATAATATTTCAAGTGAAAGACATTTCAAAAAGAAAAACGAAAAAAAATTAGAAGCCGTTCAGTCAATATGAGCAGCGTCGGTAAAATTTTAAAAAGGCATCTTACTCAGTTGGCGGAACACTCTGAAATTTTAGCGCAGATCGTGGAGCAGGTTGAGGAACACAGGTTGTCGACATCTCAATTCCAGCTCCAGGTTTCTTCGTTAAGGTTAATACTGCCGGCTGGTTCTTGAAAAGCGCAGAGTTCACACAATGAACCAAATAGCACAAAACGTTCGAAGTTGGTTTTTCGTCAACTGACAATGACTCCTATATCACTAGAGCACCAGTAGTTGGAAACTATCCGAATTTATGGAAAAGACCTTGCTCAATCACCGCGGATGTACATATAATTCTCACAAAGCACTACTTGAATTTTGAAAATGGTTGCAACTAGGATTTTCAGAGAACTGAAAACGAAAACTTTAAAAAACTTTGGAAACATTGGAAAGTTGAATTCTTGAAACTTTCAACCTTGAAACTTTCAATGCAAACGTATCAGCTCAAAACATTGTTTTCGAAATACGAGCTTGAATGCAAAAAACAACCTCCACAAAATCAGAATTTCATCGTGCTTAAACAAGAGCGCATGCATTTCTTATGAAAAATTCCGTACATGCTAAGGAGTCTTTTCTAGTCAAGAAAGTTCAGTAAGAGCCTTGATATGTAACTATAAAGTTGAAAACGGTCATTTTTGCAGTATACACATTGAAATCGATAAGTATCGAGCGTTATATATTACAAAATAGATAACTTAGTTATCGCTCAATAAATGTTAAAACCATGTACTTGGAATTTGAAGTCTTAAAAAAAATTTAAGAAAATGGAAAAAAAAGTACAATGAGAACTTTCGAAAACCTCTCGACTGTGTATGAGAAAAAGTAGAAAAGAAACTTGCTTGATTCTGCCCATCGTGATGAATCACATGACCATCTATACTGCTTTTTTTGAGCTTCTGTGGCTTTGGATGAGGTGTATCGTGACGTTCGAACTGGCCAATTGGCAACTATAACAATGTAGTGGCTAATCAAAAAAACAAAAAACAAAAAACAAAAGGAAAGTCCTATGTGAACGCCACCTTTTCTTCGTCTATGGTAGCATCCTGGTCTGGGAAGTGCACCTTGGGACCACCAATAAACGCTCTGTTCTGACCAGAACGATCTTCAAAAAAAATGTGTAAAAATTAGGATTCTACAGAAAAATGTGCTATAGTAAGAAAGGCATGGCGACTGCATACTTTAAGAAAAGCGAATGACACTTCTCCGGAAGAATGTTTCTGCTGATATACCTATCAGAAATGGTGCTATTAACCTGCTCTCAAACATAGTGCAGAAGTTACAACCAATAAGAAGCATTGTGCATTTGGATAGTGGAACTCGAAAAGTCGACTCAGTGTAAGTTAAAAACGATGCAAACTAACCATTTTGGGGATGAGCACTAAGTTGTGGTAACAAATAACAGGACAGCACTTTAACACCAGTACGGGGATCTCGTTCTACTTGAAGTTTCAACATGGCTTGCGACTGAAACAATAAAGAGAAACGACTCCAATCCCATAAAAAATGTGCGCTTACATGGACCTCCTTGGAATTCTAAAATTCACCTGATTTTCACTTAGCCATAGTGCTTGGAGTTTAAACAGAACATTGATAGTAAAAGGCAAATAACTGAGACGATTATTGCACAAATCAAGAACAGTTAATTTCTCGCACTTCCCAATATCCATAGGTATTTCCGTAATTTCATTCTCTCTCAAGGACAACACTGTCAACGAGGTACAACCACCTATCTGAAAACAGGACCTTTATTAGCAAACAAGGCCTGATAGGCATGGATCTCAACTCGTATGAAGAATGAAGTGGATAGATCAGCAAGTATACACTGAATTTAATCCATACTATAATAAAAACATTTGCTTCTGTCAACACTGAACAACTGTATCTCAGCTTATATCGAAGTTTGCATATTAGAACAACAAACATTATAATTTAAAGACGCTCAGAAACAAGACGTAAATTTCCCTTTCTACTAAAACAAATTTCTGATTTTCCGAAACAAACCGTTGATGGTATGGCCGAGAGTTTGTTTTGGTCCACGTTTAAATTCTTCAAATTGCGTAAATTTCCAATGGACGACGGCAACTCCTAAATTATTCTCGCGTAAAAATAGAACCGCACAAACATCCATTTAAAGAGTTTCACTAGGATCACCAATGAATTAAGTAAAATTAATGTATTAACTGGTAATTCCTACTTGCAATAAATTGTGGGTAAGAAAGAGTTCCGTCAATTGCTCACAGCTTCCGATAGCTTGTGTCAAGTGGTAAATATGATTTTTTTCAAGCTTTAGAATAGTCAGCTTCTTCAAGCGTCCTGGAAATACGTGCCGTAAAATCGAAACGAAAAGCCCATTTTAACAAATGCCGTTAGAAGTACCAGTGAATAAGCCAACATTTTAAAAAAGTGTACCAGCAAAATATCCAATGTATTCACCTATAGAATTTGGAATAGTCTGTAGTTCGTTGTCAGAAAGATTGACGTCTGTCAGCATTGAAAGGTCCCCAAATTCTTCAGGTAATGTAGTCAGACGGTTTTCACTTGCGTCTAAACTCTAATAAAATGTTCCATGACTAATAGAAATTTTAGCAAAACCTTTCGCAGTTACCGAACTCACCAAGTTGCTCCAAATGCCGACACTTTGTTATCTGCTCAGGAAGTCTCTCCAGATCATTGGAATCCACGTACAACTCTCGCAATGATTCCAGGCAACCCATTTCAGCCGGCTATAAACAACAATAATTTCTTGCCAAGTTACTCGGACAGCATTTTCCACCTATATTGTTCAATAACAATCATCATTAGGAGTTTGAGCATTTCTCCCATGAAAGCCATTGATTGACGTTACTGTATTTTCAAATCGAAAAACGAGCAAATAAAGTTACTTACTAGCTGATCCAGTTCATTCTGACCAAGGTCGATGATTTGCAAATTCTTTAGAAGCGTAATACTAGCTGGAAGTGCTCTGATCAAGTTGTCACGAGCCTCCAAAGATCGAAGATTGACCAACTGTCCTATATCTGCTGGTAGCTGAGTTAGCGACACGTCATTTAAACCAAGATGCGTCAATGAGACGCAATGCGCTATCGCTTCCGGCAACCTGCACTCGGATAAACATGACATTGAAGGAAAAGTAAAACACACTTGCACGAACCTCGTGATTGGGTTTGAACTTAGGTCTAAAATCATGAGCATTTTACATTCTTTCAACTGTTCTGGCAGATCAGAAATATCTGAAAATAAGACCCTTGCGTACGCAAATTCTGGGTAGAAATACAACTTGACAACTTGCCATTCCTGCTAAGGTTTAGCTCTATAAGATTGCACAAAGAAGCTATTTCAGGTGGCACACAAAAAATATCATTGTCGCTAAGATCCAACAGACGAAGTTTCGTAAGCCGAAATAGAGTCTAAACGACGCCTCTCAAAATTAAGGTGTATAAGCGGTTCGAACAAAGATCTCAACGGCATATCACGTCCCGGAACAAAATGAAATTAAGACAACGTAGCAAGCAACAAATTTAGAACCTTCGGTAATTCCTTAATATGATTCATCGCTAGCAGCAGTTCTTCAAGTCCGCGGTAACGATCAATCTCATGAGGTACGGACTGAAACCATGACGACAACTTTAAAACAAAATGAGAACCATAACACAATAAACTATTACATACCTGAAGATTGTTCTGCCGGCGATCTAGTGAGTCTACTTGACGATTACATGCCAACGGAATACAGAAAAACGAGGGCATAGTGTCCGCGGCAAGCACCACAACCAATATTCAAGCTTCAAGTTATGAAGCTAACAAGAGACTAGGCGTTCTGCAAGGGTTCAAGACCTATAAAAAAAATAAAGAAATAAGAAGGAGCAAAGCCAGAAAAATCAGAACACTGTCATTCAAAAAACGTACAAGCGATAATCTGCTACTAAGCAATCATAGAAGAACAGTCTCGAATAGCTACTTAACACGAGTCGGAAACGCTGCCTGAAATAAGTAAGGTTGAATAATGCACTAGTTATACAAACGTGAACTATCGAAAATGATCTTTTCACGCAGAAATACCGATGAACGTTAAGAAAAGTGAAGCAAAGAAACACAGCATACGATGTAAAAAGTACTACTGCTATACGTAAAACAAACATAATACTGCTATCCACTACTATACTACAATAGTATTTGCACTTCACTGTATTATAATACCGTGATAAAGATTACTTTCACGCATTGGAGCACCTATTCGGAGTGGTTAGTGATACAGTTCATCAAAAATCAAGGCGCTGGTTCGACCTCTTCCCCAAGGCTCGCCTCCAAACCATGTGGAAACGCTCTACCTCACGCAAGATTGCAAGGAGAACCGACTCGAACAGAGTTGTACGATGCTCAAAAAAAGAGATGAAATTATCAAGCAGTAGACTAAACAATACGAGGAGTATAACTTCATTGATGCTGAGAGATTTGCAAAACTCTGGACCGCAGGTGTATGCGGTGGGGAACGAACGCGCTATTGCCCTTTCCGGGGGATAACGCGTTCACCACCACACCATGCGGGTCCTTCGTTTCGCCTGTCTCTCAGCTAGTTCTATCGATCTTTGCCACAGTAATCACCCGTCAGCGGGATTGATCTGGACGTCCTGAACCCTAAAAAAGAGTAAGCAGAAAATAATAAATTAAAATACGAGAAGTGTTCGAAGACCTTTGCGGACGATGAATGCGAAGAAACGAATGGAATGGACGTAAAAGGAACGCGCGCTTAGCCTAGTGGTCGGAAGCACCCTGCAATACACATGGGATCGCTCCTCACTCCCAAGGCTCACCAACCCTTCATTCCCTCCGGCTAATTGATACCAAACTTATCTCTGAGGAAAGCAGTACTGGCTCGATACATCGATAGACCACCGGGAGCCATTGTAAAGGCCACATATGCATTCAATCACCTCTAACGATGCTTAATGAAGTCGCAGACATGGCGCATCCGTTAGGGATTGATCAATGCCGAGAATTTTACCACTTATATATATATATATATATATATATATGTACACATACCTACGTACATACAAGTACATATGTACATGTACATACACATATGTATGTAAATACATGCATATATATACATATATATAGTTTATACTTGAACTCAACATAATCACCACTTTTCGGAGGCTTGATGGTTAAGCCATTGCGGCTTCCTGGAATCCTGAGGACAGCCTGGCCAAAGTCTGCCCCAGGTCGTCACCACGACAGGCAGTCGCGGTCCTTGTGGATCAGAGGGAGATCTACCACCATGCGACTTTGATACCAAGACGGTGGTGGATCCTGGTATTGGTTTACTCTTAGCTAAGCTTCTCGATGGAAACGTCGGGCTCCTTTTCGGCTTGGGACCCGGCCAAGAGGACGAATTCCACCGTTGTACATCGCAGTCCGACACCCAGGAACACCTCTCAGCCACGATGAGGCGGTAAACTTTGACAGGATATATATACATACACATATATATATTTATATATATGTACATATATTTATATATGTACACATACAGGATACGCAAACACATATACATACATATACATGTGCATATATGTACATATATTTACGTATATATACAAATACATATATAAAACGCACGTGGCCAACTTCGTTAACTGGAGTAAAAAACTGTGACAACCCATACACCACTAAGCCAATAAGAAAGTAATCTACATGTTGTAAAAGTACGAAATTTAGTGTTTCCAGTGAATATGTGTAGTTTCTATTCTTTGCTTTGCACTATCGAGGCTTTTATCTCGAGAAGCGACGTTAATGAACAAATTCGCTAACTGGTCTACCATCTCAGCGCAGTTGGATAATGTGGATAGATCATCAAGTTATACTGGCTACGTTGCAATAACAGCTGTAATTATGGTAATAACAATAATGACAATATGTATTCTTTCTTGATAAGCTTGCACGAAGTTGATAAATATATTTATTTTCGGCCTCAGTGAGTAAGGATGCCTCATTCGAGAAGATGGCTCACTGAGGAAGACCTGGCTCGACACGAAGGCGAAGCTGCAACGTCGAGACGAACAACAATCATGGACCATCGACTCGGATCATCGGCTCTGAGGAAGACGAAGACGTCGAAACGTTAGCCGAAAATAAATATATTTATCAACTTCGTGCAAGCTTATCAAGAAAGAATACATATTAATTAGTCACACCGAGGTTCAAGGACAGTCGGTTTCGAAATAATGACAATAATGATCATAACAATAATAACGATAATAGCAGTAATAGTAGTAATATTAAGATCAACAATAATAACTATAACGATAATAATGGTAACGACAATGATCTCAGCTAAGAGTAAACCAACACCAGGATCGTCCTGGTACCGAACTAGTCGTATAATGGCAAACCTCTGATCCACAAGGACGGAGATTGCCTGTGGTAGTGACGAGCTGAGGCGGACTTTGGCGAAACTGGCCTCGCGATTACAGGCAACCACAATGGCTAAATCAGCAAGTCTCCAGATAGTGGAAATTATGTTGGGGCCCACACAGCCAGTGAGGACCATCCATCCAAATATTCAAGTGAGTAGTAGTGACAAAAGTAATAATAACAGAGGGCATCATACAAAACTGTGATGCTGGGTGAACATGTCGCCCAGAGTGAGTACTCAAACAGTTAAGCCTAAACCAAAAAATATTGCCTTTACAGTCGGTTTACACGCACTACCTAGCTGATTGTTCCAATAAAGCTCCAACACAACGCACAGACTTTTTATTATATTACTACTTTGTAAAGAGAACAATTAGAAAAACTTGTAAATGAATCGATTGGTATGGAATCACACCACTGGTTACCGACACATTGTGGAATGCCAAAGTGATGATGAGAATAGGAAATACGAAACCAATCACCGGAGGATCTCAAACCAATAGTTCGGGGTGGGGGGAGAAATGGAAACACATGATGTACCACTTACGCGATCCTAACAGAAAAATTCTCCTTGCCAGATGGAAATATGTAAATCACCTACGAAAAAAAAAAGAACAGCGTTTTGTACACAAAAATATGCGAGAGCAACAGGAAGCAAAAGGGGTAGTGAAAAACGACACGTTTCTTGTCCAATTTCGTCCCTAAAGAAGAAAAAAAACCGTAAAGTGAACGACAATGGGAAAAACGGAAGAGAAAAGAACTTCAGTGCCTGTCAGTAGAAGTCGATTACGGAGTCCCGGATAAACCCTACGGATTTCCGAGGAAGGCGAAACGTTAGCCGAATGAAAATTCTTAACAACCTCGTGCTAGCCTGACAATTCAGGACAATACCTCAAACATGCAACAAGCAGTACAGAATTCTCAACTGGTATCCATTTTAACAAAACCCTGTCATCGCTGAACACTACTGCCTCTTCAATAACGCGATAATTTCGTTAAACGATTTAAGTTCTCGTTTTGCACTACGGAACCCACAGTCAACAAGTCCAAAAATAATCGATCTAGTGAAAAAACGGTCCGGATAAACTGCCACTGGGACCGCAAAGTCTGACCAACGACTGGTTACAAAAACCTACTATGACAACCCTATGGAAGAAAAACAACGCTCAAACATAGACAGGATAGTAAAAAGTAAAAAAAGGGATGTGAGCAGATTTCATTAGACGGATACGATGCTTAGAACAGTGCAATAAGGGCAGCGCTACGCTAACCATCCCCTTAATCGATAATTGGAGGTATGCAAGGTCAACGCCGACCTCCGGAAAACATGTTCTGGGTCACAGCCGACCACACACACACTGACATACATAGTTAAATATACATAAGCATAGATATGCACGCAGAACGACAATTCCAACCATAAGCCAATCACCACGAAAACTGGAATATATATTCAAACGACGAAAAGTACTGTATGAAGCGTCACGTCCCGGAAACCACGCTTGGGTCATCAAGTTGTGTGAACACGTCCGTCCTTCGGAATAAGTCCTGCTCCGATTTTGTACAAAATACGTCCCTAAGTGCATTATTGGTCAACTTCGTGCTGAAAAATGTATCCATTGTATGAAGTCTTATGAAGGCCCACAGTATGATAAGTATGCCATACCATCACATGAAATGAACAAATATACGTGTACATTACAAACATATGCCCATGTATATGAACATATATCCGTATACACACGCATATATACACATGCATATGTATATTTATGCCCTATCCACTCATACTCAGATCTTGCACAACAATGCCATCCGATTCACAGCTAGAAAAAAAAGTCTGCCTGGCGTAAATATAACCAGTAAATATAAACGGTTCTACAATACATAGCAATGCCCGGTAGAACGGCGTGATAGCACGAGTGGCGTGCAGAAGGATGAACCGTGACGTCTAATTTTTTTTAAAGGGCAACTGTAAAGGTCCCAAATGGAGAACCTAAATGTAGTATTTTCTCTTAATCGAAGCCAGCACTTTTATCTTATCTACTTTCTTATTCTATCTTATCCTATACGTTACTAAATATTAGTCCTTTGCTACTTTTATGTGTGGTGAAGTGTAAACGTTTTACTTTGTTGTTTTGTTAAGTAATATTTCGTTATATGCTTACATAGGTGAGAGCTGGTGGTCAGTACTGCTAGCTGCTAGGGCGCTCAGTTAGTACTGAAGTCGTTTTTCACTCGCTGTACAGTTATGTTCAGAGTTTTCCCTCTTCGATTGTGCTACCAGTAAGCGACATGGTGGTTCTTCTGCTTTTGGTTTTTTCTTGTATTACACCTGCTTTTTTCAAAATTCATCGACTCACATTACGGGTGGGTTTTGTAATTTCCTTTCTTCTACAAATATTTTTCGTTCGGCATCCATTTTTTTCGGCTTGGATGAAAACTGAACGTAAACACAGATTACTAATTCTTTCTCTGTTAAAGTTTCGACTAGTGGTTACACCATGACAAAAACGAAGCTTTAGGGAGATGCCCGGCGGAACATTGCCTTAACAAGTTTCGGCTATGCTGAAGGCGGCACTTTTGATCTTGTACTAATTAATTTCACAGTACCAGAGACCATTGTGTATAAAGTGGATTCGAGAGAGAACGCAGATAAATCGGTGAGATTTCGATGCTAAACGTTTTCATCTTAGTCTCTGTACCGTACTGCACATCATTTTAAAGGGTGCGATTGGGTTTTCATTGTCTCGTGGTCATTCCATCGCATCTGGAGTCGGCTCAAATCCTCATGTTTGTCAGTTACAGGTATTTCAGAGATATTTGCCTTTTGTTTTTATGTGTAGGCCGGGTGTTTTAACATAAAAAAATGAAGGATGAAGCTTTCAGTGTTGATCAATCCCTTAGAGATGCGCCATGCATTCGTCTTCATTAAGCATCGTTTGGAGGTGTTTAGATGCATATCTGGCCTTTACAATGAGTCGCGGTGTCTCCCCAATGTATCGAGGCAATGCTGCTATCCTCCCAAGTTTAGTACCAATTTGCCGACCCGGGGATGAAAGGCTTGGTTAGCCTTGGGGGGGGGGGGGGGGGGGGGTTGGAATCGATCCCATCTTTATTGCAGATGCCTCCGACCAGTACGCTACACGCACCTTATGCATTCTAACGTAGCAGTGAAAATGAGTTGTTGATTTTGGGATTAATATTCCTACTCCGTGTAACAATAGGTAGCTAGTCAAATTTCAATGTAAAGGTACAGTGCTTGGTTCCGTGAAACAGTGAACCATATTGCAGGTGTATGAATATTTCAGCAAACTGACCAAGATTTCGATGCTCTTTTCTTCTTCGCGGATTTACCTCAAAGGCGTTTACGAGTATTCCGTTCTGGAGCGGGCAAATTGATTCGTCTTTGTGCTTCCCACGACGCGTATGTTTCTGCTTTTTTGTTTATCCAAGCTTGGTTTATTTTGATTGTTGCATAGTTGTGTCAAAGATCGTGATGCAGTGGAATCCGTGGTCAAGGACAACCAGGTTCCAGAAGTTTCGCCTGTTAGTTTTTCTCAGATGGATTTCTTTTATTCACGCTAACATCGTTATTCTATTAGGTGTCATCTTCTCACATAATCTTTTGTCATGAATTCACTAGTGATGATGATCTTATAGAATCCCTTTTCTCCAACCCATTTCTTTAAGCGCAATTATTCAACGGAAGAAAATATGTAAGCGAGGTGTAGGCTCAAATTTAGTGCGTTTCTGTTGTCTTTGTGACTTTAATGTCAGATATTCCTCCCAACGATTTAGCGTGGCTGGGAGATGTTCCCGAATGTCGGGAGCTTTACAACGGGGAAATTTATCTCCCCAGCAGTCTCCCAAGCTGAGACGGAGTCCAGCGTTTCCATCAAGAAGCCCACGTAGGTGTAAACCAATATCAGGAAGCACCACTGTCCTGATATCAAACTAGTGTGGTGGCACATCTCCCTCTGATCCACATGGGCGGCGACTGCCTGTGTCGGTGACGACCTGGGGCAGATTTTGGTCTGGCTGACGTCGAAACTCCAGGAAACCACAATGGCTAAGCCAGCAAAACTACCAAAAAGTGGAATTTATTCTGGGGCCCACACAAGCAGTGAAGACTATTTCTAGTTTTCTTGCTGAAAATTTCGTTGGCTGTATGCTCTTGATTTTTAATATTGATCTTGCTCTTTATAATTTGCGACTTGCTCATTTGTGAAGATTATGGAAAGTCTTTCATCTGAATGTAATGTTGTGAATATTAAATTACGTGTGTCTTTCGTTCCACAATTATCCCATTCTTAGGTGCGTAGTGAGCGTGACGTAGGATGGCTAGATAAATTCAAGCGTATTTTATCTGGAACAGAATCAGGAACTCCTTACGAAGACTATATTCCATTAATGCAAAAGGATCTGCAGTATTCAACGAATGTATGTCGTTCTGTCGTTTACTCACTCTTATTGTCATTCGAACCTTATTCTTCTTGTTGTACAAATCGGTGTTGTTTAGATATCGATCCGCTTTTCTCGTGAGTTAAGTGGGGAATATCATTTCATATACCATAATTGTTTTAATTATCGTGAACATGGATACAGGTATGCATGAGGCGATTTGACTTTTTCAAATTCTTTTTGAAGTTTCAGTTTTTCTTATAAATTAAGCAGTAGAGTGGCTGTTGATTTCACGGTATGGATCGTGGAACGCAATGTTGGTTCGTTTTTGTCTGCTGGCGACATTCCAAAACCACAGCTGTTTTTATATTTCTCGCTGGCATTTGTCTTAGCAGCTACTCTTTGGTGCAGACTACTATGCTTATCGAGGTTTGTTGCCTTTTTAGGTGTAATTTACTTAAGGTCTTTATTATATGGAGAAGTAGTTTTTTAAACACATTGTCCGAATTTACACATTTTATCGTTTTGGAAGTGAAACTGTCAGATCTTAAACTTTGTTCGTAATTTCGGCATCATTAGCAACTTTGACATTCTATATTTTTCGTAGCCTTCCAACGGTTTACCGACTCATCGTGGCTGGGAGGTGTTCCTGGGTGTCCGACTGCGATGTACAGCGGCAGATTCATCCCGTAGCAGAGTCTCCCAAGCTGAGAAGAAGTTCCGCGTTTCCATCGGGAAGCCTAGCTAAGAGTAAACCAATACCAGGATCCACAACCGCCCTGGTATCAAAGTCGCATAGTGGCAAACCTCCTGATCCACAAAGACTGCGACTGCTTGTTGTGGTGACGACCTGGGGCAGACTTTGGCCAGGCTGTCCTCAGGATTCCAGGGAACCACAATGGCTTAACCAACAAATCTCCGAAGAATGGTGATTGTGCTGAGGCCCGAACAACTAGCGAGGACGGGCCGTTCAAGTTTCAAGTATTTTTCGTAGAGGGCAGAGATGACTATATTGGGAACATTGCCAGAGTGTAACAAGGTGCTCTACTATGTGTAGTCATCGAAATACGGAACAGGCCTATGATGCGGTTCTAGTTTTTTTTGTTTTGCATTTGTGCTGTTGATTCAAGTTGATTGTGCACTCTCTCCGGTACACATTTGGCATGGTGAACTACCGTTCCTTTTTGTTGTTCTTTTGATAGAGATCAATTACGAAAATCTATTAAAAGTCAGCACTGAATACCATCGCTGTTCTCGAAATCGCCTATTAAATATGTGTTTTAGAGTTATTATGTCAACAATATTAGCTTCTTAGCGAAACTTTCGATTTTCCTATCTGGTCCATAAATAGTCATGTAGACTAAGACATGCCGAAGTTACTTATTTCTGTTGATCTGGAGCGCTGATATCTTTAGAAGGCAATTTCAAGTTGACACAAGTATCATACTGACTAGTGTCGGATGACAGCGAAGAACAATGCTTTTGAAATGGTGTATAATATTCGTCCAGGAGCAGTTTCTTCTGAGACAAATAGTGTCAATGAGTAACTTTGCGAATTTGTTTACCAGTGCAGTAATTTCATTACTTTTACGCTCACATTTGCCTATGTGTGTTTCAAAAAGTATTGTGTCGGAAAATTAATGGAGGATTTCAACCTATATTTTTAAAATCCCAACTCAAAATGGGGTTTGTTGATCAAGATGGAATCGATTAGAATTCACTAAGTTTTTTTGTCTTATGTGAAGCAAGTCCGCTGCTGCCTTTCTGTTGACCACTGGACGTACTTCTCCATCGTTATCGTTTCGCTCCTGTTCAGGAAGGAGAAATGGATTAGTCCAACAACAAACCACCAAACAGTCAGTATGACGTTCACTTGGTACAATTTTGGCTATGGAAAATGCTGTGGAGCTTCATCGCTGTCCATCTATTGAACCAACCGTTACCAATTGCATCATAGGATCAATTTCTCATCACACATCATAATACAGTCGATGAGCAGTTCGGTATAGTGACGTAGAAGCGCCGACGATACCATAGAATGGCGACTTTCTTGGTTGTCATTCAATTTTTGCGGCATCTATTTGTTCAGGTTCCTGGACTTTCCACCACCCACTTTGGATGGTTTGACATAGTCAAGATGCTTATGCCGAGATATTCTGCAAATCGTCGTATAGTTTTGCTTGTATTTGCGTTCACCAATGCATTGGGTTCATCGTCGTGAATAACATAAGCACATCCATGGCACTCCGCATTTTCAAGGTCTAATTCGCAACCACGAACTTTTTCACACCAGCGTTGTACTGTTCGTTCATTAACACTTCCTTGGACACATACTTCATTAAATTTCGAGCTGTTTGCGCTGTACTGCGCCCGTTTCTGATTTGCTAGGAGTACGTTCGTCGAAACTGCTGTTTTTAAATCTGAAATTGTAGCATTTAAAATTTGTTAGCAATGCGACTTTTTGTGTAGTTCAATTATACGTAGTAAAATTGTAAAGAGCTTTATCTTGGTATATAATACTACGGCATTCGAAAAAATACTGCTGAACCATGTTCAAGAAAAACGAAGCTGAAAATCCGATAGTAATTTTCTAACAACATATTAATTTCGGTTTCGCTCTCAGTAAACTTTTATTCATTAAAACTAGGTTGAAACAAAAAAGAGTTTATTGACTATAATAAGCCTTCCAACGGTTTACCGCCTCATCGTGGCTGGGAGGTGTTCCTGGGTATCCGACTACGATGTACAGCGGCGGATTCATTCCGTAGCAGGGTCTCCCAAGCTGAGAAGGAATTTGGCGTTTCCATCAGGAAACGTAGCTAAGAGTAAACCAATACCAGGATCCGCCACCGTCCTGGTATCAAAGTCGCGTGATGGCAAATCTCCCTCTGATCCACAAGGACCACGACTGCCTGTGGTGGTGAAGACTTGAGGCAGGCTTTGGCCAGGCTGACCTCGACATTCCAGGGAACCATAATGGCTTAACCGGTAAATCACCGAAGAAATGAAGATTATTCCGGGTCCCTCACACGTGAATAGTTCTGCCCAAGTGTATTCTAGCGTGCGTTAATACGTTCTGAATCCTCTAGAGTCCAGTCAGTCCTGGTTTCCAACAGTATGGTCTCATCGTATACGTTTAAGACTGATTCAGTATCCGTCTAAGATGCTTTATGCAATAGCCTACTTGATTTCAAAAGGTCTGCGTATCACAGTATATCCGAATGTTTTCGAGACCTTGATTTTGAATGCTTTATTATAACTTTACATTCGTTGTCTCAGTGCTGTCATGTTGGTGTTTAATACTATAAAATTAGCAAGTTGTCTTCTGAATCTATCTGCATGGTAGGATGCACATTTTGTTGCCTTTCGCATGTGTTTTACCACCTCTTTACATTGGTGTCTGGAAAAAAAATCGACTATGATTTTCAAGAGCCTGAGATCGTTGAAATTATGTCATTGTGACAATTTGGTATAAAAGATCATACAAACATTATATTAATGATTTAAGCCATGCGAACGTCTATCGTGTGCACGGTCTTATGACGGCGTTGGTACTTCTGAAGGGTGCATCACTATTTTTCCATGGCGTAAACTTTTTTTTCGTCAGCAAATATGGACAACAAAGCGAAATCTGGGCTGTGGTTTATTACATCACACATTTGTAGGTTCTCTTATTCACCGTCTTTTTTGAAAGATCGAAAATATATTTATTTCAAGACTCAAAGGTGCCCTTCTTTTCGGGACGATTATTCTCATTGGCACAGGCTATACTTTTTTCAAAAACTTTCTTACTGAACATGATCGAAAAGTCTTCATGGTTGTCCTACCGCTTCAGGTATTTTTTTCATGTGTTCATCACTTTGCATTTTCAACTTTGAATAGTTATCTCTCATAGGTAATTTATCATCAGGTATAACTATTAGATGCCGTAATCCTTGAAAATATGGTGCCGTTTTCTTGTTCTACGACAGCTTTTTTCAAAATTTCATGGGGCCAGAAAATCGTATTACAAACATCGGAGTGATTTACAGGCCTTGCGTTATCCGAGAAAAACCTATATTGTCTCCAAATGTATCGTTGGTGTTTACGACTGCCGCGCGTGGCTTAAAAATTTCTGAGATCAAATTCCGTCCTCAGTTCTCTGGAAATTTGGTTTACTAACAAATTTGAAGTTAAAATTTTACCAAGATATTGTGAACAAGACAATATAGTGAAGTCGCTTTTGTAGATATACTGGCATCTGTAGAAAATCCAGCGCAGTCGATGAAAGGCTGAATTATGGCTGACCAAATGCATTGTTATCCATACATAAGTGAAACATAATAAGCAGTATGTGTTTTCTTTCCAGATGTTTATTTTGCTGTACAGGATCCTTTTGCTGTAATTTTTGTGCTCATTCGATAGTTCATCCGACAAACATTGTGCCACCAGTGGTCCATAAAATACCTTTCTGTACACAATAGTTTGGAGAAAGTTTGTTGCACGATTTATCCTTCCTGTTCAGAGGCTTTCAAATGAAGCGTACTGTATCACTTGTAGTCCCGTTGATCGTCGAGTGACTCGAGCGGATATTAGTAAATCTTCTATTCCTTGTCGCGTGAAAGAATAGCCCAATGGGTTCTGCTCGCTCTAGGGACTTGTCGAGCATCATATCTTTTTTTCTACGCTCTTCGTAAAGAGTTCTGACCATCGGGTCGGTGGTTTTTCTTGCAGTACGTTTGACATCCGAGGAATCCAGTCACTAACGGCTCCTGTCCATCGGTTGTCATTCATACGCATTACGTGTCCGGCCCAACTTATCTTCGATTGTTTGGCGTACCGAACGGCATCTTTGATTTTTGATCGTTGATGCAGATCGGAGCTTCGGATCCCATCCCTTACTTGTGGAACGGGATACTCCCAGCGTCGTCCTTTTGACTGCCCGTTCAATAACGTTGAGTGATCTTTCTTCCTGGTTACGCAGCGACCAGGTTTCTGGCACGTACGTTAGGGCAGGGAGTATCGTTGAGTCGAAAAGGTGGGCACGGAGTCGGATGTTCTTTGTTCTCTTCACTACATCCTCGATGCTCTCGAAAGCCCCCCAAGCCGCTCGTTTCCTTCTGCGCAGCTCTGGAGCTAAGTCTTTCATCGCATTGATTTCCAGATCTAGATAGACATCACTGGAGTATTCGGAGATATTTGTTCCGATGAGCGTTAATGGGGCATACAAAACCAATCCGTTCTTCATGAACATCGTTGTGAGATTTAATCGAAGACCTATCTTTCCACAGGTTTTATCAAAATCGGCAAGCATGCGTTCCGCTTGGCTAATGTTTGTTGTTATAAGGACGATGTCATTAGCAAAGCGAAGATGATGTAACTGCCGACCATCGTTTTTCACCCCCCATATTATCCCATTCCAATGTTCGCATGGCGTTATCGAGGGTGACGGAAAATAATTTTGGCGATATTGCATTGCTTTGCTGAACTCCTCTTTTGACGTCAATGTTAATATGGTTGTAGAATGGTGATATCTTGGTTGTGAAATTTTTGTACAGCTCACCAAGAATATGTACTGAGTAGGGAATCCTTGACTATCAAGGGCTTCTATGACTGCTTCTATCTCACTTGAATCAGAGGCCTTCTGTAAGTCGATGAAAGTGGGACAGTGCGGTCTTTTGTACTCTCGCGTTACTTCAATGAGTCTTGTTATCGTGTGAATGTGGTCCTTCGTACTAATTCCTTTTCGAAACCCTGCTTGCTGATGTGGCTGTCCTTCGTCTAGTGTTTTGTCAATCCTGTTTAGGAAGACTCGAGTGAAGAGTTTGTAGACGATAAACGGTAAGCAGATTGGGCGATAGTTGCCGATATCGAGCAGATCACCCTTCTTGAACAATAACACTACCTTGTTGGCCTTCCACTCAGTAGGGACCTTGCATTCAGACAGGTAACGTGTGAAGAACTGGGCCAGTGTGTTTACGAGGACTGCCGGAAGGTTTTTCAGGTGTTCTGGTCTTATTTTGTCCGAACCTGGTCTTGTTCGCTAACAAAATGGCATTTCGGATTTCGGAAAGGAGAACCAGTGGTGGTACAACATATCTATCTTCCTTTATTTCATATGACGGAAGGTGGACGTGGTTATCGAAGAGATCTGAGTAGTATTCGTGAATGATTTTTTCCATTGCCTTTCTGGATGCTGTAAATCTTCCGTCTGGACGTTGGAGTGCGATCATCTTGGTCCTATAATTGGCGAAACTTCGGTGGGCGTTGCGAATGCTTTTCCCAGCTTCTGCAGCAACTCTTAGCTTTCATAGCGCTAACGTGGAGATGTTGGATGAGCCGATCGTATTCTTCGTCGATGTTATCGACAACGGCATCTGGCCAACAGCCGACTACTGAATTGAATAATTCCCAGTTTACGGTGGTTCTGGGACTTGGGTTCTTAAATTTACTGGCTTTTTCTCCTTTCCGCGGGAAATGGAATCTTGCACGAAGGAGGCGGTAGTCGGATCCCGTGTAGAATTTTGGGACAACAGCGACATCGGTTAGGCAAAACCTTCGATTTAGTATGATGTGGACTATTTCGTTATGGTACTCCTCGTTGCGAGACTCCCACGTCCATCGTTGTGGGTGGGGCTTCTGGAGTTGCGAGTTATCATGGTTGGTCGTGGTCGCCGTGAGAAACTCAAATACCCGCTCACGCTACTCGTTTCGTTCTAATCTATGGGTCCCAATGTGACGTTCTTCAGACGTTCTTCTTGGTCCGATCTTGTCGTTGAAATCTCCAATGATGACCTTGAAGAATCTATGGTCTTTTCTGTAGAACTTCTCCAAGTTCATATAGAGCGCTCCGATTTCTTCTTCTTCATAGTTTGATGTCGGCGCGTGAACGACGAAGACTGTCAAAGCCGATATTGATCCACATCTTTTTTATCGTAAACGTCCGAGTCGGGTTGTTAGTTGTTCCAGTGATTCAATGTTTATGGACGAACTCGTGATGGTGAGAATGTCGACGCCACCGACTCTGCGTATGTTCTGAGGAACACTTCTCCAGTTTCACAGACAGCGTTAAATGGGTAGCGTCGACCCATCTCAGCCAGGCCGATGACGTTTTGACTTATCTTTCTTACTTGCATGATCAAGTATTCTTTCGAGGACTTAGATGCAACTGTTCGTACACTATAGGTAAAGATGGTTACCTTAGTCTTTTGCAATTTAAGCAGCTTCCATTGGCCCTGAGATTTTAGCAGCCTGTCCGTACTCGTCCTACTCAACGCCACCGAATTGGGGGCTCTTTCGTGGTTAGAGGAATGAGGCCTGTTTCTTTTATTGTTTTTAGTATTTTTATACCCACGTGGAGCTTTCTGGTCTCGGAACGTGGGGACTGGGTATACTCACGGGTAGCCTACCCGGGTCTCCCAGAGTGGACATGGAGCTTATTTGTTGGAGGCGACTCCTAGCCGCCTATACTTTCCAGTTACTTGATTGCAGGCTTTTGGCCGAATGGACTCGTAGAATACAATCCGCATAAGCGAGAACGCACCCACACACGCATGCATGAATACTCCTCGTAAATACAGAAAGTATGTGCCAAATCGGCGCAGCAGAAACAGGGAGTCCATCTCCTGGATGCACCTGCGTCTCAGCGAAGCAAAGGTCGCTTTTTGTTAGCGATTAACCCCCTGTCCGCCACCTGGGGACGCGCCACGTAGCCTCGCGACTAACCGGCTCGAGATCCCTCATATGAGGGAGATCCATGGTTCAAATGCCTTTGAAGACTTGTTGATGAAGAAAATGGTAAGATGTTTCGACGTAGGCATAGTGCGCGCTTATCATTGTGCTTCCATATAGTGTACCACTGCGAACATCATAGTCTCCTAATGCCACTAAACTCAAGTTTGTTTGGAAGTGGAAGTTATTTAAATTGCCGGGATGTACTTATTGGTTGGAAGTGGAAGTTATTTAAATTGCCGGGATGTACTTATTAAAATGTGTTATGAAATGGACTACTAAAGTCTGTCAACACAGTTGGACTGATTGTGAAGCTTTTTTATTGAAGATTTAGATATATGAAGTTCTAGTATTATTGATAGATGCATGAAAGAGCGTAGAATATGCGCATTAAAAAACGGATGGAATGAGCGAAAAAATACCTGCGAGAACTGAGTAATGAGCGAAAAGACACGAAAGAGAGCTCGATCAATAATGTTTGCTTGTGTCGTTTTCTTGTTCAGCAATCGCGAGGTTTTTAAACAGCATACATTTACTTCCATAAAAACACAATACAATACAACGCTAGCTGACGTTTCGGCAGTATCGCCTTCTTCAGAGCCGCTTTTTCGTGACTTCCAATGAGGAAGTTTAGAACAGCTGATTATAGTCGCATGTGGTTGACGACTCAGTCGTGAGTAGCATCTAAAACTTTATCACTTAATTCTAGTTCTAGTTTCCTGTATGATTTGCATAGTATGCCCTAACGGTCGAGATGGTTATTGCATGAGTTTGAGTTACGGTTTATCCAATCTCTTATAACGTGCGCGGACAAATACAATGACAAAACGCGTAGGCCCCTGTGCGTCCGTATAAAAAACATTTGTCGGTAAACTTAAAGTTAAACCATATACTTCGTGAGAGACTCATAGGGAACAAAGGCATAACGAAGAAGATTTTGGAGTAAAAGTTACTATCCTCGCCCAGGAATCAAAAACTTTAGGGCACAAAACTTTCGAAGGGTTCTGGATAAATTCCAGATATCGAAAAGTGAACTACGGGAGGAGTACCTCGTTATTAAACATGATTTTACATAATGTAGTAGAGCGGTATTTTAATGTGAGAGAGGCGCATTGCCCACCCACGTGAACTGTGTTCGGTTGATATTGTTCGGTGAAATACTCGGTGGAAGAAATGTAGAAAACAGTGAGTGTGCGAAGGGGCTATTTTGTTTCCAGTGCGAGAAAAATCTAGGTTTCATGATCTTGTTTTGGAGTTATGGAGGTGTTTGGCTGGCTAAATTGCAGTCAGACGGAACTTTCCAAAGTCTGGAAATCGCGAGCTACGCGGAAAAGTCCGCTTTTGTGAATAAAGAGTACAGTAACAACCTCATGTGTACTTACCAAGAAAACAACTAATTATTTACCAATGTGGAGATTAACAGAAAGTCCGTCTTAGGAACCACTAGTTTGATTTTTTTTGAAAACATCTTTAATTTCTGTCCACTTTCATCAGATTAGTTTAATCTAAGAATATCAACATATGTTAACCGAAGTATACCAGCTACTGTTTTAATAATTGACAACCTCCTATAGTTTCCTTGTATATTTGTTAAATCTTTTTTTTTGTCATAAGAAACTCTGCATTTCTGGGACCAATGGTCATAATACATAATAAGTCGGTGATAATACTTGATGAAAGGCATGCTTTATACATTCATTGGTAAAATAAGACATTAGTGTAGAACTCTTTGCGTTGTTATAGATTGTGGATAATATCGCCATGGTAATACTTGAGGAAAGTGAGTTTGGTCAGCAGGGATACCAGATGTGGTTCGAGATGTTCGTCTTCATTGACATGATTTGCTGTTTCCTCATCATATTTCCAATAATTTGGTGAGTAGTAATACCTCGTAGATGGTTTGCAATAATTATAAACGAATCTCAGGTCTATGCGCCATCTGTCTGAAGGGGCACGAAGCGATGGCAAAGCTGCGTTCAACCTAGAAAAACTTCGCCTATTTCGTCACTTTTACATTATTGTGATATCGTATGTGTACTTGACCAGAGTAATGAAGCTACTTTTACAGGTAAATAGTTCATAACATTCAAAGATTCCTTTCATCGTTCTTTTAGAAGAGAAAGTCGACAACACTGTGTTTCACTTTGTTTAGTACATCCTTCCATTTGATCAAGAATGGGTAACGGATGCAGTTGTCGAGTTTTCTACGCTTGTTTTTTTTATCCTAGTTGGGGTTTTGTTTCGTCCACAACCTGCAAACCCTTATTTGAAATTGAACGAAGGGATTGACGAAGGAGAGGATTTTTCGTGAGTCCTTTATGATTGTTAATGCATGCGTAGAAGTCGTACAGGAATCTACTTTTTTCCTTTAAAAGTACATAGATTTTGGAAACCGGAAACCAAAAATTGTAGGGTTTCATCAGATGTGCGAGTTGTTAGTCAACAAACATCTTATACCCGCAATGATACTGAGATATTTGCAAAACTTGAACACCAGGCCCCAAAATCGGACAGTTTCTTAATATTTTATAGACTGACTCAGAACGGGCTGCTAGAAGGGCTGGTGAACCGTGGATCATCGAGCGCATTAGTCACTACGGATAATTCAGTCAGTGAAGTGGATTGTTCAACTGTAGCTGTAGAGGATGGTATGAATACATCGCAGATTGGTCGACGCCGACTCGATGGATTTGAGAGGACATTACTTTGATCAGCTTAAAAATAACATAGTATTGATATATTGAAGAAATGATGGTGTTTCGCGATTGGCGAACTTTATTCCTTTACGGGTATTGAAGCCGTCGTATTATTTTATTCTTTTACGCATTTTGACTAGGATTATCTGTTTCTATGTTAAAAAAAAACTTTGTAACTGACTCTGTATGAAATCGTGCTCGCTTAATTCTCTACTCACTGGGATGTCATTTTAGATATGAATCTTGATCTGTTCATTTCTCCACAAGTTCCGTTATTATTAGACTGGTGGATTTATTCAACATTTCTTGCTACTGTTAGAGAAACCTGTATTGCAAATAGTTGTCTCCTATAAAAAGTACCGTTCTAGTTTCTGAAATTTGAACTTAGTTCCGTATACTGATATATCTTTTCGATAGCAGTTTCTGATATTGATATAATCTCTTAATATTTAATGTTATGAAACTTTTTGCTTTTTTCTTCCAGAACGCTTGTCATTGTTCACCATCGACTTCGCACTAGACCATTTGTCATTTCCTCCTCAATCGAAATTTTCTTCTCTAACTTGGCTACATATTCATACTTCCTTGACGTCATCAGCCGATAGATGCTGGATAGTACATTTAACGAGGTAAGATGCTACGTGGTTAGTTTTATGCTCAGATCAGATATCTTATTAGTTCCAAAAGAATACTACCTTTTTCCCCTTATTTAGGTGGAACATGACAACAGTAGGTGGGAGGTCTCTTCGCCTGAACTTTACATTATAACTAGTCCCATTTTCGATTTTTTTAGTCGCTTATTGTCCCATGGATGTAGTATTTTTTTCGGTGTGTATGTATGTATGTATGTATGTGTGGGTGTTTGTGTATGTATGTATGTATGTGTGTGTGTTTAGGTGTGTGTTTGTGTGTGTACGTATGTATGTATGCATGTGTGTCTGTGTGGGTGTGTATGTGTGTATGCATGTGTGTGTGGGTGTGTGTGTATGTATGTATGCGTGGGTTTGTGTGTATGTGGATAACACAACTTTTATTCGCTGTCGCAGCGACTCATATGTGATTCACTTTCACCAAAATATCCTAAGTAAATATTGCTGCGCTTTTTGTCGTGCTTTTTTGCTGTATAATGTGGTTTGTTTCTGTCCATTTATTGTTAGGTAATGGTATCTAGCACCATAAGACAACACAGTTTTACGGAGTTGATAAATTGTAAGATATGTGTATTTCATATTTATAGTATATATATACAGTCTGCGAGCTGCTGTGAAAGAAAGGTGTTTTATATTTTTCCAAGTGTAGACTAGAGCTTTTCTTTGACAAGAAAGGCCACAGAAGCAATATTCGTTAAGTTATAAAACGAGTACAAAAACTTAAGAAAGGGAAGTTATGTCGTAAAAAAAAAAGTCGAAAAGAAAATCCATCATGTTTAGTACGCATCGGCCCGTTTGCTCAGTGTGAGGCCATTCATCATCAGTGGGTGGGTTAATGAGCACGAATGCACATGACTTTCTTGATAGCGGCATTCTTCGAGCTTTTATAGTTCTCCTCTATGTATACATCTTCACGACTTGTTTGGCATTCTAGACGATATTGCTTGATTTGGAGCATATTTAAATGTAAATGTGAATATTTAAACAAAGTATCCTTTCAATTTTAATTTCAATTTTAAACAGGCGTATCGCATGTCACAGTGAACTCTATCAGTTAAAACAGGAAGCTTGAAAATTCAGAGATCTTAATGAACAGTTTGCGAGTTTTCCTAATCCACTAGAATTTTTTAAACCTAAAAATTTTGTTTATCACTTTTTTTCGTCGAGGCTCATTTCTCGTGAAGGAAAGTGATCCAGCAAGTAAGATTTCCTCTGGTACTGTAGGATGATATTCTAGAATACGTCCGTATGTGCATAGTTGTCCCACTTGCTTTAAATTTTTAAATTTTAAACGCTGATCTAAAATAATTTTATACATTTATCTGGACTTTAAGCTTTAAAAGGAATTAATGCTGAACTTATTAGGAAGAATGTCTTCTATCACAGTGATTGTGCGTCTATGCCTTTTTGTAAGCTTATCAATTCCTTATTTCGTCAAACAGTTTTGGCGTCGAACAATTTTCGGCTGTCGAAAAGCAAACATTTTCACAAATAGGTTGAAAAGTAATCTAACGAGATGCGAAACTGATTTTAACAATTTTTGTCCAATATCACTGTGACGATTGTGAGTATCACGAATCTTTTCTAGGTTTCTTTTTCTTAACCGTCCACCGGTGACTTGCATTTTTTCGTTGGGATTGGAAGTTTTGGTTTAGCCAACCGATGGAGAACGTAGCAGTGTAAGATCATCAGATGACGGAGCCAGTGGATCTCTTGGCTTCGATGATCGAGAGCGCCTAAAACTGCTTCAAAAAATAGAGTCAGCAAGGGAGCGTTTGAAGCACACGAGCCTTGAAAGAGAACGTAATGATTATTCGTAGTCATTGCTGATATGATTTTAAACAAGCGAAATTCCGTAGTTGATTTTCAGGTGATGTGGAAGAGTTTTTAATGATGACCCGTGGATCTCGATCCCAAAAAGGTTTAGATAATCCACAAATGGCACGTCTTAAACAGCATTTTGAGAAAAAAAATAAACGACACACAAGTGAACTTGAACATCTGCAGGTTTCGAACCATTTTTTCTTACTGATTTTTTTAAATGTGTAAATACGGTAACGTGAAATGTAACAACATTCATAATTGGTGACTGAGTTATCGATTGTTCTCTTACAGAGAAAACTAGCGAGCTATGAGCATCGGTTGGCAGAAATTGAAAGTGGTGTTTCGGAATCTGGGGCTAAAACTACCGTTATGTCTACCGTCGGACAGGGTATCAGGTATCAATGGTATATTGGTATCAATAATACTAGTACTATACTGATATTACCAGGAATAACACACAGTTAATGAAACTGAACATATTTACTAGGCGTATTTTTTATGCTTATGTTTAGGCGAACAGGCGCGAATTTAAAAGGAATGACAGAGACTGTGATGGCAGCACCGCTTGAGCTTGCCCAACGAATTAAAAGTACATTCGGATCTGCTGATAGTGTCAATAATCCTACGGAAGGTGCTGTTGTTTTTGCGTTGTTACACCCCAAGGCACGAAGGCATGTTGTGCTGAAAATCCAACAAGCAGCAGCTAACATTCTTAAATCTTGTATCTGGTGTATCTTTGTCTAGAAACGACCTCGGACCTGAGAATTGGACAGTCTAAATTCTACGCAAATTCCGATTATGAAGGCGTTCAACAAACCACAACTGACAGGTTTGGTGTGATATCGAGTAGTCCATTGCTTTCCATCTTTGTTTTATTGCTACATGGTCTCTAGGTGTTTGCCAAAGAAGTCGGATTCCCTACCCGCCCCCTCATCTTTGCTGAAAACGCCAACACCGATGCTTTATCATGGTAACAATATTCCAACATCAAGGAGTGATCAGAAGACGAGAAACAATGAAATTGAAGAGGTAGTGAAGCCATTTCTTGTCCTGAGTAGGTCTTTGCTGCGGCGTGACTTCGCAGTAAAATGTTCCAAGTGTTATACTGAAGCACAAGTCTTTTATGTGATACCTGACTCATGCATATCCTTCGTTGGCACCGTTCTTTTATGTGACCCAACATATATATATATATATATATATATATATATATATACATACATATACGGATATCACTGCTTTTTGCTTTCGATTCGTTTCCTCGCATCCATGTTCAACGAAGGTCTTCGATCTTTTACTTGTGACGTCGTTTGCTCCTTGAGGATTATTGCTCCTTGAAAATATCCTTGAATGCTGGTCATTTCCACTCTCCTTGGAATTTTGTGGTAGTCGTCATAGGACGCTCTTAGATCCTGTCGATCCGTGGATATCAAAACTTATCAGACACGTCTGGCATCACCTTTGTGGTCCCAAAGGGTTAGAAGGTTTGGTGGGCACGAGACAGGAGAAGCAGTCTCTTTTGCAAATTAGATGCAATCACTTCAACATGTGTACGCGTTCCCGGTAGCAGTATTTTATGTACCTATGAACTTTTTCTTATGAAATTAAACGACCTTTAATTGCATTTAAAGTATAAATTTGTCTAGCATTTTTGTGACCTTTTGAACTCACTCTTCGTAACAGTGTGAAGTCTGTTCCACGCTTTTTTATTACATTCACTCATGAGATACCGTATTTTAAAGTAGATCTTATTTATTGTCGTTAATTGTAGATGCAATTAATCTCATTAATGCCAACCAATGTTTAGTTTAATCTCTCCGTGCCGCTATCACCATTGTCTTCCGCGACTCCGTTAGATTTTTCGTTGGAAACCTCAGATGCTTCACCACGGCTGTATGATGACCTACAATGTTTACGACATTTTATTTCTAAAATGGGCGACCAAATTAATCGGATAGAGGTAAACGTGTACTATTCTGACAACCACTCAAGAGTGTTTCATCGTAATCTAATTTCTGTTTTTTAAAGTCTCGATTGGAATCTGAGCTAGCTTACATGATACGAGCACTGGAAGAGGAGCGTGGGAAATATTTGGTAAGCAAATTTAGTCTTAGGTTAATTCTTGGACACTCTTTATTCAACTACTTCATCACATCCTGACTTTATAGAGACTGGAAACAACAATGAATGAGACTATAGAGTTGCACCAGGCAGAGTTTCAGGTTGTCATCTATGGTTTGCATGTGTATAATACGTGCCTTTCTATGTGTATATCGTACGCTAATATTTTTCTTGGATTAATAAATTGCTCGCCTACTAGGCTTTGAAACAAGAGCAGAAAGGTATTGCAAACAGACTGGACTATCAGTATAATGATCGCTTCAAACGTGTGGAAGAAAGCGTCGAATCTGTGGAAAATCATGTGAGTTATTTAGTTGAATATTAAACGGGTTAGCCGACAATATAAGATAATCATTGTCATAATTTCTTCTTATCTTTGTGATTTTTTAAAAATTCTCCTTCAAATCATTTAGTTGGTTTTGTCTTTATCAGATTTGTAAGCGTATCCTAATCCTCAAGGTGTTTCACGCTGTTTGAAAGCAGTATCTGCTACAGGTAATGAAAGAGAACTCACAACTTCATTGAGAAGTGTCTCCGTGAATTAAAGTGTAATAGTGGAAGTGTTGGTGTGAAGCAAAATTGTGGGTTCCCTGTAATACGATGAGACTTAGACTGATCTGAATTCGTAATAAGAGCAGTAGGAGAAATAATAACGTCATCTTTAACGATATTGGTAAACGTTTTGCAGCAGCTATCTTATCTGCTCAGTTTATCATCATATAGGTAACTGAAGTCCAGATTTATCGTTTGCTGAACAGGCACATAGCTGCTTAAGCGTACCGGTTAATCTTCAGTGTACTCTGCGTAGAAGACGGCTTTGTTAGATACGTAGGTTTTTTGAGTTCGAGGTGACTCATGGTCCTCGAAACCATCGCTACCATGTTAGTCCGATTCGAGAAAAATTCCAAAAGAGAAGAACACTCAAAGAAATAGTGACACGGAGAGGATTCGCTGCATAGGAGAGAATCGTCCGGCTCTTACCAAGTAGTGGAGATGGATTTTCCAAGAGAATATGCCTATCTTGCAGGCAGGAGAATTCCAATGTTCTCATTCAATGACTAGGAGATCTCATTCAGATACGAAGAAGACAATCACATTTTCTGGACTCTTGGTTCTTCAGGACGCTTTACCAACGATTAATTACTCTTTAACAGTAGAATATTGTCTAGATTTTCCCTTATGTAGATTCTTAGAGCAGAAGTTAAAGAAGGAAATTATTGATTTGAACCACTTTCTTCACTAACCGGCTCGTTCTTATCCAAATTTTATGGAGATTCCTTACGATGCGCCATTGAATCCGTTTTGCTCGCTAAGGCCTGTGTCGAGGCCAATAGAGGCCGTCTCTGAAATTTAATGTAAAAATTCTTTTTACACTGCTGTTGAGTCATGAGAATTTGACTTCCGAAAAAATGCGTGAAAGCAGGAATATGCAGTGTTCTCCTACTCCCATGATTTTCCACACCGTAGTACATTCTATAATTGGCATGAGTCACCATATCGGTCATAAATGTGCAAAAGTGCTCGTGCCTCACAAGTTTAAGAAAAGATATTTTAGTATATGGTGAATTTTGCTGCTTAAATGAAAGCTTTAAGTCCACTATTTTTTGGCAACGGTATAAGCATTTTAAGGACTCGCTTGGCGCAGTAGTAGGAGGCGCCACTGCCACACACTCGGAATCGATCCCCGCGCTCATCTCCCACCAAGCCTTCCATCTCTCCGGTGTTGGCAAATTGGTACTAGACTTGTCTGGGAAGAAAGCATCACTGGCTCGATACATCGGTTGGCCACCGCGAGTCATTGTAAAGGCCAGATATGCATTCATTCACCTCCAAACGATGCTTAATGAAGTCGAATGCATTGCACATCCCACAGGAATTGATCAACGCCGAGAGCTTTATCCTCTTTTTATAAGGATCCAATTTCGCAACAGTTATGCTCTTTTTTGAAAGGTTTTTGAGTCCTTGTAACAAAGTTTTTTTAAATTTCTTCGTCTAGGGCCGTATTTCGAAGGACGTACTTCTAGAAAACAGCGCTTTATTGCACCAAAATTGTAGAAAAGTTCAAATTTTTTTCATATTACTGAAAATTTTCATTACAAACAAATCCAAGTTTAAGGAAACATTTTGATAAGATATTTATTTTTTGTACTTTCTAGAAAGTATTGAAATGTCATCACAAGTCTTCTACGTTTCTGCTACGTTCTCAACCTTACAAGTACTCCATTTATCAAGGATTTATTGGCAGTTATCGAAAAACCAGGATCGAGGTGTATATTCTACACATCAGTTAAAGCATGCGTTTTGTAGATGGTTCGTATGGAGAATTCCATAAAAGATACCTTGGACATCCGCTTGTCGTCTCCGGCTTGGAGCAACGCTGTTTTTCTTTCCAGTGCCAATATTGTGGTAAGTAGAGTATATATTTGTTTCGTGAACTAATATCTGTTTTCCTATGTTCCTGAGGACGTATTTTAGGTTGAGTTTCTTAAGATTGTCCTATATCTGGTTGCTACAATACTAGATCTGTTTTTGCCGTTTTTTGGATCAAGGTTAGTTCATGTTTTTCATTTAATTTTTCGAGGAACCTTTTGTTTTTGTTGTTAGATGCACAGCTGTGCTGTTTTTGTTTCTTGGAAATAGGTGGTATTGTTTCTAAAAACCAGTTTAAAAAAAACAAGAACAAACCTTTTTTGAAGCGCTGATACGCTTCCGATTTCTCTAAATTTTGACTATAGTCATTCATGAATTTCATTAACAGTGATCAGTGACATAATTTCCACATTCATATAACCCTATGGCGAATAATTTGTTTCGTAACAGGAACAAAGCGGGCGTATTTCTTTGCTGTATGATTGCTGTGGTCGTATTGTGGCAGAATCTCCATGTCCACCATTTCGTTGGGCTTTTTCTGAGGAAAAACTCTACAGAAAATACTGTGATTGCTGAATCTATCTCGTAATCGCTTTTATAGAGTTTTCTCGCTTGTACTGGTCAGGGGAGTTATGGAGTTCGTTTTGGAGTTTATCTGGAGTTCGTTATGTTTCTATTACTGACCTTGTGTTACTTGATTGTCGCTGTTCTTATCTCTAAAATCTTTGTAAAGTTGTACATTTGCTGGGGAGCTACGCTACCTTATCGAGTGCGGTAATTGAGGCTAGCTTGCAATAGATGAATAACTAGTACGGCAAGGCTTTCCATTTTGACGTGACAGTAATCTTTTTTAAACAGTTATTATTTCTTGTCGAAGTGTTCTTGGTTGTTTGTTACCATTCCAAATATCCATTTGTCCGACTGCACTATGTATTGCTTAGAATTGTCAATTTCTATGGTTTGTTCTACCAGTAAGTTTTAGCTATCCTTTCTGATTGCTTTTCTTGAGTACTGTAATATTTGCCATCGTATGTGTGTCTTTTGCTACACGAAAACAGGGCAGCGATTTTTTTTCTACGTGACTACTACTTACCGTATTTATCTATTCCATTTCATATGAGCAGTGAGGGCCAGCTTTTTTGAGAAGCTTTCGTACTCTAGACAAGCAACGTTATTACTTTTGGTGAGAGTGATAGGATGTTCCTGTGCATCCTCTTGAATTAATTATGACACAAACCATGCAATTTTTGTGAACTATTTTCTTACATGCGATGTAAATTTACTATCTAAATGTGGAGATAGTTTGTCTCGTCTAAATATACGATACTGCACTTTCTCATTTTGTTGTCGGTTTAGGTAACCATTTTGCTATTTTTTCATTGTGAGATATAGGATGAGGATATTCTAATAACTTTGACTGAATGGTCTTTTTATGTCTTAACTTTCTTAACTTTTATCCACTGCCTATTCTTTTTTTCATGGCAGGGTTCGACGTGAAATAATGCTGAGATGAGCAAAACTTGGAACCTCAGGTATGCTTCGAATCCTGCGATTACCATTTATTAGGGCTCACGTGTTATCCACCACACCAAGCCAAGGTCTTGGTTTGCATTTCTCTCAATCACTTTTCTGCCCTAACGGTTCCACCAGCAATCACGCGTCGACGGCAGTGATCTGAGGACAAACCGGCAATGGAACCAGGAACGCTGAAACTGCGCTTGAGATCACAGTGTTACAACTCTTACAATTTATACAGTTTCCAACGCGGTAATAGTATAGTAATAACTAGGATTTAAAAACTAAGTAGGGTAATAGTATAGCAATAAGAATTTAAAAGGAAACTAACATTAATGTAGCATTGAGGAAGTCGTACATATTTGTTCGTGATATTGTGCATCCGTTAAGGTGTGAGCCTTTTACTCAAATCGTTAGAGTAGAGAGCACTTATACGTATGAGAGAAAAATAAATAGTACGCAGCCTATAGACTCATCAGTGCAGTTGGAAATTGTTAATTTGTAAAGTCGTCTTAACCAAGTGTGCTTAGTAATTTTGTTGAGAAGTTGATCGACTAGAGAAGGAATGGTTTATTTTACATTTCTCCTTTTTTTTCTAGCGTTTGCTTAATGCAGGTATTCTACTATATTGTAGTTTCACCTATGCATCTAGTTAATGATTTAGTTATAAACAGATTCCCACGTGTGTTGGTGTCCACTTCCAGGTGTGTTGATTTCCACTCTTACACGATGAGTGAGCGGTCGATGTGAATTGAGTTTTTTGCCATTCTTTTCATATTCGGTCGACGGCTTCTCTACTAACTACTATACCAGAGATTCGATTGGAAAACTACACAGTACTTTTAGTATTGTACAAAAGTTATTTTTTGGATGAGTTTATTCGATGTGGTGGCTGGCATGAGTTGGTTTCAATTCATGTAATTTGTGACGAACAATTGAGCATGCGTTGTGTTAAGTGGTCATATGAAATAAGGCGACCGCTTCTAGGTGCTTAAGTTATCAGTGTTAGCCTATGCCAGCCTTTCCAATTGGTTGCTAATGATGTTAAATTCCCTTATTACTCATAGTTCAACAAAAAGATTTGGTCGTATCGACTTTCCTAATTAATTTCTACTTGGTTTTCCAGTTTGTTCAAATTAAATCTAGGTGCTTTGCAGCATTTATTTATTTAATTGTTGATACGAATTTCATCACGTACTGTGCAGAAAAACTAGCACGTTATTCAGTTTTTTGCCCTGCATCTTTCATCTACGAAGTGGCTAGGATCCGCGCGTGGTTTCAAGTACTATTATTTATAGATTTTCCCTCCTTTGAAACCTATTGGACATTGGTTGAGTAGATTCTGTCTGGAATCCCAGGACAGCTCTACGAAATCTTTACCAGGTTTCCATCACATGCAGTTGTCGGACTTTGTGAATCGGGGAGATCTTTTTCCAGTGAGTTTTTGTAGTCTTAGTTCTTCTCAATCTACTGATGCTGAAGAGATCGGCAGTTTGTTCATCTTCGGCGGGATGAAATGGCTGGATGTATTGCGTCTATTGCACATCTTTTAACTATTTCATTTTACACTCCCGTCTTGTGCGTGTAAATTGATCTAAGGTGTAAAATCTAGGGTAGATTGGAACTTCGGACTGAACACTTTTTGTACTAGTCCCAGATGCAGGTAGGGGGTACAATATCCAGCGTTTAATTTGCAATTAATTGAGAATAGCATAAAAAGTTAAGCGATCGATACTGGGGAATTAGTGGTGTTGTGAAAAACCTCATCTTCTTCATCTGAGTGACTGTTAAAGTTTGGATTTGGAAATGACTCAATCGTCGGCGTAGCACTAGGAAGAAGACCGTCTTGCCGCACGAGTACGGAGGCCTAAATGGTCTTATATGTGTAACATATCCTTATAAAGCCGCTTAGATTTTAACAACACTATTTAGTATGACTTTATATCTACGCGAAACCACAGTAAGGTTGTTCAGACGCCTATTTGCTAACGATGACCGTTTCTTAGTTTTCGGCCATCGCCGATGCTTCATACCATATGCTTAGGTCTTTAAAAAAATTGCCAAGGATTTCTCAAGAAAGAGAAATCAGTAGAGTGCATTTTTAATTTGATGTGGGTTAAGAGAAGAAACTTATCTGTTCAGTAGGTGATCTTGCTTTTCTAATCTTCTTCTGTTTTAGGTAATCGAAATAGGAGTAGGTAGCGAAACCAACGTGAAGAAACCATATTGCAAGACCAGCGGACAAAGCAACTACAGTCAAAATCACGAACACTGGAACTATGCATCTCATTCATTTATTCATACCATGCACCAGAGAATTAATTCTAGTAGGACTAAAGATTGTATACGTGATTTTAGTGCAAATCCACCTACACTTTTTCTCACGCTGTACTAATGTGTACCGGCCATCAACAAATAGTCGCTCAGCAAGTGAAGAATAAGGAGCTATAGCACAGTAGAGCAGTTGAAGTAATAGTATTAACATCATCACTACAACGACGAGCTACAACATATTTTAAGAGATCACATGCATTTAAGGAAGTTTTTATGAAAATTTTGACCTTTTAATGATTACACAATTTACTAGCGAATGCAAGCGGTCGACCGATAAGACCGTGGCTGAAGTACGAAGGTGTTCTCTACATGTGGCGTAAATACTGCATGCTGCATGGGCATAGGCAATATTTACGGGCCGATTAAAAAGAGTCTTCTAGCATTCAATTATGAACCACGTTTTGTGGGATTCTATTTACCTAGAGGGCAGTGATATGCGTTCACGTCAGATCAGATGCAGATGTGGCTTTTCCGGTGAAAAGATTCTTTTAAAAGGTTCCGTTAATCAGTTGATATTTAAGAGTCGTGTTTAGCATGCAGTAGTTTCAGTTGACTGTTGAGACCATAGTGCTACTGTTACTCTGTTTTTATTGTACTATACGTCACAGTAAGTAAACTTACTGTCTATGCTATAGGGAAAATCGGCGCACTCGCGAGATTTTTTCTTGTATCACACTATTTCTTGCGTTATATATCTTCGTTAGTCTGCTTCACATCGGAGCTATCAATACCTGGGGAAAAGCAGCCTGGGAAAAGAGCACGACACTTTGTCATCGGCAGATGTACAGCTACGCATCGCTCTAGTAGGGTATATTTATTGTTTGAAATCATGACTTTATGAAATTTGTGAACGAAAAGAGGTTGTTTTATCCTATCTTGTATTGTATGCGACTTAAATGTTGTATTTATTCTATGGTATTTTTATGAAATATAGAAGTGAGGATTTAGTAAAATTCGGACACTTACCATTTGGCCGACGAAAGGAATCATGAACAAAGAACTTTCTCGCCAAAATGCCAGTATCATAGACAAGGTCACAATGTATTCCCAGATCTATAACGTAAGAGAAGTTTTGAACTGAAGATGTCATTAGTGTGAGATGTTACACGAAGACAGTTATAAACAATTTCGAACTCCACGAACATATGTGGTCAGTCATCCATACAACATTTGCTGACTGTAAACAGTACCTCTATAAAGATCGTAAGAGCTGTAGACATTTCCGGCAAACCACCAGTAACGTAGGTTACAGATTCTATTATCTCAGCAATCACTGTTAGCACTACAATAATGAAGAAAGCTATCTGAAAACAGAAATAATATGCCAAAAACGAACAAACTCGAAAATTGACCAACTATAACCTTTTTGACCATAATTTTACATT